GACCTGCCCCACTCCATGGAGGTGGGTGTTCATAGACCTGCCCCACTCCATGGAGGTGGGTGTTCATAGACCTGCCCCACTCCATGGAGGTGGGTGTTCATAGACCTGCCCCACTCCATGGAGGTGGGTGGCCATAGACCTGCCCCACTCCATGGAGGTGGGTGTTCATAGACCTGCCCCACTCCATGGAGGTGGGTGTTCCTGCCCCACTCCATGGAGGCTGTCTCTTATACACATCTAGATGTGTATAAGAGACAGGAGCAGGTGGGCTTGTTGCATGCTCCAAGTGGAGCAGGGCTTGTTGCATGCTCCAAGTGGAGCAAGGCTTGTTACATGCTCCAAGTGGAGCAAGTGAGGCTTGTTGCATGCTCCAAGTGGAGCAGGTGGGCTTGTTGCATGCTCCAAGTGGAGCAGGGCTTGTTACATGCTCCAAGTGGAGCAAGGCTTGTTACATGCTCCAAGTGGAGCAGGTTGACAGGAGCTAACTCATGTCCCCGTTGACAGGAGACGGAGTGGACGGCGCAGTTGACAGAGGCCGCCCGTCTACACGCCGCCATGCTCGCCAGATGGAAGTCTGTCAAGACAGAACTGCAGCAGCAACTGTCTACTGTCACCGCTAACAGACAGGAGAACCAGCGCCAACTTGACAGGCGAGTGCTCCTACCGCTGTCTCTTATACACATCTAGATGTGTATAAGAGACAGGGTTAGTGAGGTGCGATAAATTATGCATAACTTTGCATTATCAAGTGATTCTATGTATGATCAATTCATTAAAGGAAAGAAATTGAACATAGAAAATCTAAATGATTAAAGAGCAAAAATTAATTAGAAATACGAGGATGATATTGAGTCATGATAGCAAGTAAGTGAACGGATTAGTTTTGATGATCAAATGTATTTCTCCAAATTAATTCTTTCGAAGGTGCTCAGCTAATCTTGAATGAATCTGTGCCGATGTAATTTTTGACGATTCGTGTCAAGTTCTCAGAGTCCTGCCGTTGTTCTTATAAATCTGCATCGTTACAAAAGTCGCCGAATGTTCGGCACGGTTTCCACATTAGCTATTATAACGACAGAAAAATCTGATATGAATTTCAACATATAAAACTATGGCACGAAATATTTCATTCGAATTTTATTTGAAGTCTAGTTGTTTTTGAAGTTGCGTCATTTTTCTCGTTCCTAATATAATTTTATAATTGAATTAAAAAAACCTGGAAAAATCTTGTCACAGGCAAATGTGTTTGAGATCTTTTGTTCGTATATTTTCAAGGATTGATAATTTTTTAGGTTAGAGCCAAGAGGAAATTTTGTATGATGACGTTTTCCACTTTAAATATTTCGCAATATTTTATGGTGCGAAAGAAAAACTAGCAACAACCCAATTCGAGATTGTTAGGCACAGATTCTGCCCAAATGATCGGCACTAACATGCGCTTTCCATTTTAAAAAATATCATGGCAAACATGACTTGAATCAGGCTTCTATTTAAACTGGAAAAGCTTTGGTTGAATAATTTTCCGAATCATCAAACTAGTAGCTCCGTCAAATTCCTTTGAAAATTATTGATAATTTTATTGATCTAACGAAATTAAAGTAAATGGCACAAATTCTTGATTTTAACGTTCTGATCAAACAATCAATATTCAAGTTGATCGATCAGTATAATATTATATTTATTTTACATAAAAAATAATTNTGTCTGTCTGCTTACTGCTGTCTGTTGTCTGTCTGCTTACTGCTGTCTGTTGTCTGTCTGCTTACTGCTGTGTGTTGTCTGTCTGCTTACTGCTGTCTGTTGTCTGTCTGCTTACTGCTGTCTGTTGTCTGTCTGCTTACTGCTGTCTGTTGTCTGTCTGCTTACTGCTGTCTGTTGACTGTCTGCTTACTGCTGTCTGTTGACTGTCTGTTTACTGCTGTCTGTTTACTGTTTGTTCAATGTCTCTCTTCTGTCTGTTTTCTGTCTGCTCAATGTCTCTCTTCTGTCTGTTGACTGTCTGTTTACTGTCTTGTTTACTTTCCTGTTTACTGTCTTCTTACTGCCTTTCTACTGTCTGTATACTGTCTTGTTTACTGTCTGCTTACTGTCATGTTTACTGTCATGTTTGCTGTGTTGTCACTGTCTGTTTACTGGCTGCTTACTGCAGCATCACTGTCTGCTTCACTATGTTTATACTACTGTCTCTTCATTGTCATGTGAATGTCTGCTGTCTAATATATATATATCTATAAATATAAATATATCTATAAAAATGTATATATCTCATTGGTACTATGCACTCAGGAAATATATGGGCTTTATTTATCAAAAAGTGAATCACTGCGTGCGTGTAGCACTGATACGCCTTTTGTCCGGGCTAAAGTTGGGTAAAAAATGCATCAAAGTCATTGTTTGGACAATGACACATTCTTCATTCTGGGTTTATTATCGATTATTAATGATATAATAATAATAATAACTATAATAATAATAGTAATAATAATAATAATAACAATAATAACAATAATAATAATGATAATAGATGTACCCTCCTGCAGCCCCCGTACCCTCCTAATAATAAATATGATAATAGTAATAGTAAGAATAGTAATATTACGAATAACAATAATAACAATAATAACAATAATAGCAATAATAGCAATAATAACAGTAATAATAATAACAATAATAATGCTAATAATGTTAATCACTGGCAGGGTGCAGCGCGAGAACGAGCGGCTGGCGGGGAAGCATCTGAAGGCGGCCCGCGCCCTGCAGGAGGAGTTCATGGACCTGCCCCACTCCATGGAGGTGGGTGTTCATAGACCTGCCCCACTCCATGGAGGTGGGTGTTCATAGACCTGCCCCACTCCATGGAGGTGGGTGTTCATAGACCTGCCCCACTCCATGGAGGTGGGTGTTAGACCTGCCCCACTCCATGGAGGTGGGGGGTCATAGGTGCACAGGTTCAACCTGGTTCATAGAACCTGTTGTTGCCGTTGCTGTTGTTGCCGTTGCTGTTGTTGCCGTTGCTGTTGGTGCCGTTGCTGTTGTTGCCGTTGCTGTTGTTGCCGTTGCTGTTGTTGCCGTTGCTGTTGTTGCCGTTGTGTTGTGGTTGTTGGCACCCTGGTTGACGGTGGACGCAGTGTAATAACTGGCAGCGTCTAAGATCACATTCTTTAAGCCAGAGCCCTTGTGATCCATTCATTTAAGTACTGCTGCCAGCTATGGACACCGTTCGAAACCCTTGTAATCCCTCTTCTTAAATACTGCTGCCAGCTATGGACACTCTTCAGAATCCTTGTAATCCCTCTCCTTAACTACTGCTGCCAGCTATAGACACGCTCCAGAGCCCTTTTGCTTTTTCTCCTTAAGTACTGCTGCCAGTTGTGAACCTCGTTCACGGTGGGCGCTTTGCGGAAATTTAGATGCGGTTCAGCGGAGGACAGCGGCCAGAGTTTGGTTTCTTCGGGAAGGATCCCCTTCCGTATCGGGGCCGAGGCTGTTTAACGTCTTCCCAAAATATTGAAGAGTTGGATAATTTAACCTGGAAACTTTCAAGAGACAGGACGTGTTCCTGAGCACAATTCCTGATCGTCCGCCTCTGCACCACTACCTACGGCAAGAAGCAAGCAACAACATCGTGCATCAGCTGGCCCAACTGAGGGCATCAGCTGGCCCCACTGGGGGCATCAGCTGGCCCAACTGAGGGCACCAGCTGGCCCAACTGAGGGCATCAGCTGGCCCAACTGAGGGCATCAGCTGGCCCCACTGAGGGCATCAGCTGGCTCAACTGAGGGCATCAGCGGGCCCCACTGAGGGCATCAGCTGGCTCAACTGAGGGCATCAGCTGGCCCAACTGAGCGTGGCCTGGGACTGCTACGTCATAAACATACACTAAGACTTGTTGTTGCTGTTATAAATTACGTTGTTTTTACTATTGTTATTACTGATGTTAGTTCTGACACTATGTCTTTGTGCTTGCAGGTCCGCCATCTTTGTTATTGTTGCCTGTGTTATGATGGCCGCTGTCTCGTTTTAATAGTTATAATATTGCAATATTTTTAATATTATTATATAGGTAGTTAATACAGTATAATGTTGTTATAGTTAGCAATGTTCTAAGTTTGGGTATGTGTTGCAGGAGCTGCCGGTCCGCCATCTTTGTTATTGTTGCTTGTTTTATGATGGCCGTCGTTCTTTTATTTTCGTTGTCATGGTCATAATGTTTTGATATTCATAATGTTGTTATCATTATTATATAGTTATTGTTATGGTCTAAGTTGGAGTGCGTGTTGCAGGAGCTGCAGGTGCTGCTCCTGCAGCAGAAGGAGGAGCTGATCACGGCGACGGTGGCGCGGGAGGAGGCGGACGNCAGGAGGGTCTAGAGCGGGACAACATGGCACTCAGGTACATCTGCTGCAGGAGGGTACGGGGTGCAGGAGGGTACAGGGTGCAGGAGGGTACAGGGTGCAGGAGGGTACGGGGGCACTTAAATACAAATACTGTTAATAAATAAATAAATTCAGTATTCAACACAGATTCATACATTTCCATTCAATCGCATGAAGGCAATATGTTATAATTTAAGTTAATTATAAGGTTAATTCCATTATATCTAATCTAATGAATGCAATTATCCCCCCCAGGGAGGCGGTGCAAATAAATTAATAGATAAATAAATATAATAATAGATAAAAATAAATAATACATAATAGGGTAATACTTCATAGCTGTTGTGTTAGAATTAATTAACTTTATTAAGTTGAATTATTTCAAAGATCTATTAACGTATAATGCATGAAAATAAGTCTATTGAATAAATGCAATAAATAATTTCAAATGCAAATGCAATAATTCAATGCAATAATAATTAAATACAATACCTACTAATTAAATGCAATAATAATTTAACGCAATAATAATTTAATGCACTAATAATTAAATGCTATAATAATTTAACGCAATAATAATTTAATGCAATAACAATTTAATGCAATAACAATTTAATGCAATAACAATTTAATGCAATAACAATTTAATGCAATAATAATTTAATGCAATAACAATTTAATACAATAACAATTTAATGCAATAATAATATAATGCAATAATAATTTAATGCAATAATAATGTAATTTAATGACTGTCTAGGGAGGCCGTGGGGAGGCTGCAGGCCAGCCTGGGGCCCGAGGCGCCCCCCACGGAGGCCCAGGCGCAGAAGCTGCTCGAGCTGCACGCCCTTAAGGAGCAGCTTAATGAGATGCTCACTGCCAAGGTGGGTCATGGTCATAAGGTGGGTCATGGTCATAAGGCGGGTCATGGTCATAAGGTGGGTCATGGTCATAAGGCGGGTCATGGTCATAAGGGAGAACATGGTCATAGGGGAAGTCATGTTCAAAGTGGGTCATGGTCACGACTTAAGTGGGGTCATTGCCACGGCTATTTATCCCTCTCAACCCCTCTTAGCGAGGGACATTTTCATTACCCTTCCCTTAGCGAGGGACATTTTCATTACCCTTCCCTTAGCGAGGGACATTCTCATTACCCTGACCCCTCTCCCCCCGCAGAGGGCGCTGGAGGGGGAGGTGGGGGAGCAGCGGGCGCGTCTGCAGAGTCTGCAGCGCGACCTGGAGCTGTCGGAGCAGACACAGCGCGACTNATTCATGATTATAGTTAATATAATATTAATTGAAGTAAGACGTGATGACGCGGCAGGTGCGGTGGCAGCACGAGGACGACGTCGACGACTGCAACGGCTGCCAGAAGAACTTCTCTGCCGTGCGCAGGAAGGTGGGTCATTCTGACCTACTTATTAAATATCAACTTTAGTGCACGAAAACTCCTGTTACGATGAAATAAAATATAGACTTTAGTGCATTAACTGCCTTGTACTTTATATGCTGCTTTATTTACAGCGAAATATGTGATGATACACCATTTGTTTGCCTCTAGTAGTGAGTTGGATTAGGGGATTCAACATGAAGAATGTTTTGGGACGCAAATATATAATTGAAAAAAATATATGCCGTGAATTTATAATAATTTTGACAACATATATAACTGCCAAAAATAATGAATACCGTGAATTTATAATAATTTTAATAGTTAATTTAATATATTTAATATAGCTATTAGCTGCGGATTGACAAAAAAATAAAATACCGTGAATTAATAATAGTTTTAATAGTAAATTGAATATAGCTGCGTTTTGCAGTACCAACAAAAAAAAATAAAAAGACTGTGAATATGCACAAATTTTAATGTGAAATTTAATATATTTAATATAGCTATTAGCTGCGGATTGACAAAAGTAAATACCGTGAATTTATAATAATTTTAATAGTTACTTCAACAAAAATTATATACCGTGTATTTATAATAATCTAAAATAATAAATGTAATATAGCTGCGTTTTGCAGCACCAACAAAGAAAATAAAAAGACTCTGAATTTATACTAATTTTAATGTGAAATTCAATACATTTAATATAGCTATTAGCTGCGGATTGACAAAAAAATTACGCTTAATTTATAATAATTTTAATCGTGAATTGAATATATCTACCTTTTGCAGCACAAAATAATAAAATACCGTTAATCTATAATAATTTTAATAATAAATATAATATCCCTGTGTTCTCAGCACCACTGCCGGCACTGCGGCCGGGTCTTCTGCGGCGACTGCGTCAGCAAGACCGTGACCGCCGGGCGCGCCAACCGCGCGTGTCGTGTGTGTAACGTGTGCCACACGCTGCTGGTCAAGACTGCTACACCCTACTTCTCTGAGGTGTTACAGCGCCAGTAACTGCGTGTGTAACGTGTGCCACACGCTGCTGGTCAAGACTGCCACACCCTACTTCTCTGAGGTGTTACAGCGCCAGTAACTGCGTGTTGCAGCGTCAGTAACTGCGTGTTGCAGCGCCAGTAACTGCGTGTTGCAGCGCCAGTAACTGCGTGTTGCAGCGCCAGTAACTGCGTGTTGCAGTAACATTATAACGCAGTACACTCAAAAAACCGTATGAGTCGTATTGTCCAAGTTGTGACATACTTACTGAACAAATCACTGGAACGTCCTTTTTTTCCTCGCCAAAATGGGTCAGGATGACCCATTTTCCTCCCTTTTCCCCAGCAAACTGGGTCAGGATGACCCATTTTCCTCCCTTTTCCCCAGCTAACTGGGTCAGGATGACCCACACAAGGGCAAATGGTGCATCGATATTTGGACAATGAGCCACTCATTTCTGTGGGTGTCATCCTGACGTCAATTTTTTGTAACCTGAAAATATTTCAATTTTTTTTAATATTTTTTTCTCGCTATTTTTTTTGTTTTTAATGATTTTTTTAAATATTTTTTTTTGTGTGTTTAATGAGGTTATTTTTTGTGTAGATGAAAGCTGCCGATGTTTTAGTTAATTAAAGTTAATTAAAGACTCGCTGTTTAATAGATTATTATTCCAAGGTGAAAATTATTGTAGCCTTTGTAAATATTACAATTATTTGATTATTGTACTTAGTAATGATTGCTATTATTGTCTAGTGTTATATATAGTAAGTATATATAGGGTTTATGTTCTATTTCTTACAATGGAAATAAGAAGGTATAAATATACAGGACTTTCGTGAGGAGGTAGGGTGCTTTCTACCCTAAATAGGGTATATTCCGGGGTATAAAACACTTTGGTGTTGATTTTTAGGGTATGGGACTCTATGGAATGGAAATCTATTGTATTTTCTAGGGTATGGAACTCTGGGGTAAATTCTAGGGTATGAGACTCTAGGGCATAGAACCCTAGAGTTTAAGCCTAGTTACTCCCTATTTTGTGTTCTTTCTATCCTATTTATCCCATTTGTTCGATGTACTCGCACTTCTAGTAAGATCTAGGATGCTTTATAGTATGGCTGCGCCTAGAGCTGCTCTAGGAGTCATCTAGTTCTTGTCTTTACACGTGTTAGGGAGAAACTTGAGAATGAATAAAAGTAACTAATATTTATTCATTATTTTCTAATATTTAAGAAATATTACGTGAATGCCGAGAAATTTAGTGATGGACAGGCTCGTAAAATTTGAATTTATTGAATTGCGGAATTTTGGGATTGCGAAACTCCTTCAAAATCATAATGATAATAATTCAGAAGATGTATTAATTTTTTATGTTTTAATAAATCATTTCGATCGAGTCTGTCGTGCTTGACTTATTTGTGTGCCTTGTATTTTCATGAATTTTAGGCCCTGTATTTTAATTATTTTTGGTATCGTATTTGTACAATTTTAAAATTTGTATGATGAACCGCTTCAAATACCTCGAATCATGAAGAAATTTATATTTTTTTATGTGATTGATCAGCCTAGCGCAATTCTAATTTTCACCAACATTATTTAATTGATGTATTTATTTAGGGAAAAACCCTCTGGGCTCCACGATGGCCACTGATTGCAATATGCCTGTGTTTTTTTAAAGTTTGTACCATTACCAACCGTATAAATGTTAGTAGAATTAAATTAAAATTAAATTAGAAATGTTAGTATCACGTCTTCTAATAACTATCAAAATAAGAGTTGGTCAATTTGACCCATGGGCATGGCTGATGTTAGGAATACTGTGGAAAATTTCTCTTCCCTAGAATTATTGATTAAAATTTTTTCTTTCCATGAATTTTATCCACAGTGAAGAATTTTTCGATTGGGTCCGGGATTTCGGGTTCACTCGTTGTGGCTGGAGAAAGGCGTGGTTGAACTAGATAAGGTTGACCCACGAGAAGTTCCGACTTTCAGTTCAGCTTTCTTGTTACGTCACGTAGATCAAGAAACGTAAACAAACCCGTCATTCCCATGACGGATTGGTTGACTGGTTTGATCGCTTTTCGGTGATTGGTTGATGCCCGTGACGTCACTGAGATCAGTGACGTCACAGGCGGACAACGAACTACATCCGCAAAAATGGGCTTCTGATGGGTCAACCTTATACTAGCTCAACCATGGGGGAAAGGTGTATTACACTCATTGTGTGGTGAAATTTTCCCCCTTCACTCACTCGTCGTGGTGAACGGTGGGCACAGATGGAATCAATCGTCCTGTCAGCAATTTTTGTGGCCGCTCTGAACAAGATAGCAACAATATACTTATTTAAATTAATCTGGTCAAGTGGTTGCAGTTCAGTATATCGAAATGCGAACAGTGAGTTGTGGGTTCGATCCCAGTTACCTGTGACAGTTCTTGTTAAATCAGCGAGGAGGTCGGGCGACTAATAATTGGAGCAGTGGGTTGCGTATTCAAGACTCGCGGCAAGCTGTGAAAATTCTGTGACGTTAAAAATTGGCAGCAGTTTTAATGGCCTAATCTTGTGCGCAGACATCGCGATTATTATTAAAGTGACTCCTCGAAAAAGTCGTAGAGATTTTAAACACTTGACGTGAAGTCCGTCTAACAGTGGATGATGAACCACCGCGACGGACCGTCTACCGTACAACTGGCACCCCTCCTCTTGGCCGCTATAATATTGTATCTCATTATTTTAGAATTTATACTGAGTCGACGTTTTAATTTGATTTGTGTGTTAGCATATAGCGTTTTGATTTACGTGAATCAATATTCACTGTGTATCAATTGAATTAACCGGTGGACCGCTGGGACCTGGTGGGTTGTGTTTCAAGATCATCTTGCGTTCGGTTATGAACTTTTATATCAATTTAAATAACTTGCTAATAGCCGTTCAAATTTTACTAAAGTGTTTAATTTTATCAGTAAAATCCTCACTAAGCATTACCGTATAAAGGTGCTTGTACTTGGAGATAGTTTTAGCGGCGAGTAACAGCCGTGATGTGCGAATCTACGCCGCCCCTTGAGTTCGCATTACAGTCCCATTATACTCCAAGTCATCTCTCTGTCCAACACAGCATTTTACACTCACTCTTCTACGATGATCGATAACGTTTTTACTCTTCTCCGCTGGAGTATTAAAAATTTCATCAACTATTTCATCACAGGCCTCCTTAATTAAACTCGCAATTACTATCACGTTCAATATTATTTCACTGAGCATAGAGTACACGCGACGGCTTCTGACGACGCATTGGCGCATGAAAATGAGAAAATACTATTATGCTAATACTTTTCTCAAGTATAAAAACGTTTTAATAAGTAATACTAGAATAAAAATTATTTCCGTCCATACTCTCGGTTCAAACTTTTCCAGTGTAGAAGTATATTTTAGCTAATATTTTCTCCGTGTATAAAAAAAGCTATAGGCTAAGCCGATATAATTAGATTAGAAATTATTTGCAGCTAATACTCGCGGCTAAAACTTGCACCCGTGTAGAATCGTTTGTGTTTTGCACCGGAAGCGGAAAGCGACACTAGTTAGGCTGCAGCAACTGTTATGTGAATTCGTGCCGCTCTTTATCCTGCAGTTTCTGACAGAGATCAGGCTGTCAATTAAACTATAAAAAATAATTTATCCTGCAGGCTGCGTTGGCACTTGGCAAAGTGCCATTACACAACCATAAAAAAGTGCCATTCGTGTTCTGAACAATGTCTTGTTTGAACGACGGCGGCGTTGTTTATAAGAAGCATGTAAAGTGGTGTGCAGACGATATCGAGTTGTTCTTAGAGATATTCAAGAGGTACGATGTACTATGGAATGTTCATCATGACGACTACTCCAAGTTCTCCAACAGCATTAAGCGACAAAAAGCCCTTTTGAGACTGAAACAAGAACTCGTTTGTCATGGGTTAGTCGTTCCCGATCTTGCATTTCTGAGGGCCAGAATAAGGAATATTAGAGCAACATACAGAAATGAATTAACGAGAATAATCTCTTCAAAAGCAAATGGAGCTGCCGCAGAAGACTGGTATGTGCCAAAGCTCTCTTGGTTCAGAAAGGCTGATGCATTTCTGAGAATTGTTGTTACAACTCAACCATCCCAGTCTAAATTGGTAAGTCAACTTACTTCAAATACTAAAGATGTTCATTCAATAAGTATACAATTTGAATTTGTAAAATTGTAACAGAATTTAAATTTTTTGGTCTTCTCATTCCCACTGTCTATCAAGAGTATCAACATGCAAAATTTTAACTCTGAAAAAATTACCCTCTTGACTTATGATTATGACCAAATCAGTTCTCTATGCATTTTTGCATTATTATTGGTGCTTAGGTGTTATGGCATCAAAGCCTCGCGGGTTAAGGTATGATGTTCAAAACTTCAAAAAAGTTATTACTAAATTTTTCACTTCATTACTGGTTTTTTATTTAGAATACCGGTATGTTTACAATTATATACTGGCTTCTTTCATACTGTAAAATGAGATCTTTTAGGTCAAGATGTGGTATTGTTGTTGAAGCTTTAATAAGGCTCTCTCAAACTCAATGCATACTGCATACATAATTTAAAGTCTAACTCTAAGGTAGTGGCTAGTCCTACTGTCCTAGACTCCTAGGCTAGTGAGTGCTATTCCACTGCTATAAAACGGATAATTGAAACTATTGTGTGATTCGATAAAAGAAAACCCTGTTGCCTGTTAATGTGTTATGCAAAAAATTCTTGCCTTAGAGAAATTATGTTGATGGCTCTTGAACTTGAAGTACCATGAGACATGAGTCATGAGGAAATCTACAAATGCAATAAAGAGATATTTTATATATTTACTATAAGACTATTTGTATCACAAAAGGGTGAAAGCTAAAAGTGACCTAAGGTTATTTTGAGTGCTGACTAAAATCCAGAAGCCTACAGGCATAGTGGCAAAGCAGACTGCATAGACTTTTTTTAGACTCTTCCTCAAGTTCAATTTTGAGTCCGATAAGTAGACCAGTAAAGTATCAGGAATACCAGCATTATCACACATAAAAATTAATTTAGATCTTGAGTAGGTAAATTAGGAAATTATAAAAGAACTTATTCCAAAGAATACCTATCTGGTTTGACGCTATGCCATCCAGCCGATGGGACAAGACCAGGTTCATGAAGAATAAAGCACTGCAAATCATGTGAAATGTTGAAAAAAGATTACCTATTTCTGCCTATCCATTTTTTCAAATTTATCTAGAAGAAATTCTTCCATCCTGCACATCAGGGTGGTAGACTCATGGAAAAAGGAATTTTTTAATCCCAACTTATGGGCAGAGAATGCACTAAAATATCCAGAAAACATTTTTACCAAATTTCTTTCAATTTACTTGACAAATCTGATTTGTCAAGTCAGGTGGACCTTTGACCCGAGAAGGAAATTTTTCTACTTATGAATGAAATCTCACAGCCCCGGCATAGCCAATTTTTTATACATTTGGAATTAATGCGGCCCAATAGTGCAGCCTTATTGACAAATGACAATTAGATAAGAGATAATTCACCTGGTGGGAATCTTGTGGCTCCAAAAATGGGGAAAGTTCTAGACGCGGCTCAAATGGTAGATATGTTCCATTCTAGTACTTGGCCCTTGTATTCAAGTCATAGTAAACTGTATTTTTTGGTCCAACTAAACAATAGAGAACATAGAATGCTTTGAAACATACTGGAACATATAAAATGTTTTTACCAATTTTTTTGTCAATTTACTAGATAATGTCATGTCAGGTCTAGTATTTCTAGACCTGTGTGTTCAGATAACAGAAAATTTCTTTTTTGTTACAAGTAATCAATAGAAAATGCTTTAGAATGTCCAGAAAACCTAAAATATTCTTTCTGAAGTTTTTTAACTTAGAAAAATTTGTGTCAGGTCTGGTACACTCCAAGCTGATCCAGGGCTCCTGGACCCGCATATCTGAGTCACAGAAAAATGACCCTGAGACCCTGATGTGCTTCTCAGAGGAGTTTTTTTGTATATTTGAAAATTTCATATGCAAAGCTTTTACCAATGTTTCTGATAATTTATTGCCTATCACTTTTTTGTAAACTTGATCCAGTGGTCCTATCTAGGTTCAGGTTTAAGTCAGTACCACCAACTATCACCCTACTGATCAGTACTCACTATCCCTTTTGATCAGTACTAATAACCTGATGATAATGTGTATTGTGTGATAGTCTACATTGATCTTGAAGTGCCATCTATGAATAGTAGATTTTGCAACTGCCATTCACAATGATTTTACTTCAGTTGCAATGTATTAAGCATTCTTGATCTTTTTTGTGCCTCTTCAGTCTGGGCTTTTATATCATGATATTTTAATGGTCATTATTATCAATAAATGAAATTTAACAGGGGAAGTTGAATCAAATTGCACTCTACAGAGTTAAATAATTCCAAAAAACAATTTCAAGAACTCATCATCTTCTATAATAATGTAATCAGGAGGCAAATTCTATTTTTGTGTTCATAAATGTTTGCAGTAGGGGATTAAAGAATACTTCCATTAACTGCCTGTTTATTTGTGCTTACATCAAAGAATTACTTTACAGACATCATTGGTTATAGCACATAGTATTATGCTGCAATCCTACTTTGTAGTTTGGACAATTTGTGCAATTTCCTGTGTGCTTGAATAATTTTTGCTTACCATCAACTACACAGCGCCACCACAGCTTGCCAAACTCCAAATTGGTTATGAAACTCAATTTTTTCCTTCTGTCGTCAAGAGTTTTGGGAACCTCTAACTGGGTTAAGGGCAGGGTGGCCCAGTGGTGACAGTTTAGAGTAGGTACCAAGATTGGAGCAGAGAGGCGCGGGTTCGATCCCAGCTCTCTGTGCCAGTTTATGGTCAGAATCGGCAAGGGTGCCTGGCGGTTGAGCAAAACAGAATTTGTAGCAGTGAGTTGCATGTTTGAGACTGCAACAAGCTGTGAATATTTTGCAATCGATATCAAGAATTGGCCTATGGCCTAATAAATGCTGAAGCCAATATTATTATTATAATACAAATTCATTTAGTTTAGTGATATATTAAATCCAATCTAGACACTGCAATGTAGACATTTGCAAATTGCTAATAAATATTACTTTTGGATTGTTTCAGAAATCCACCCATGAAGATCTTGGATTTACAGAAGAAGTATCAGTAGCTCTGGATTTAAATGAAAAGCAAGATACCCGATATCTCAATGATAATAGCCTTGTAATTAACGAGAGTACTGAAAGTGAAACAGCAACATCAGTAAAACAGAACCAAATTGCAATGCCAACTGCAAAGAAGAGAGGGATTTCAGAAATTTCTAGAGAAGAAAATGAAACTTTCTTAGAAACAGAAAATAAAGCGGAAAATTTGGTTAAAAGAAATTTACTTGCGATGCCAACTGCAAAGAAAAGAGGGGTTTCAGAAATTTCTAGAGAGGGAAATGAAACTTTCTTAGAAACAGAAAATGAAATGAAAAAATTGGTTAAAAGCAATTTACTTGCAATTCCAACTGCCAATACAAGTAGGATTTCAAAACTTTCCAAAGTTGAGAGAGCTATAGACAAATTACAGAAAATTGATAAAAGTAAACCATTGTGTTCCAAGAAAGTTTTGGATGAATATGATGTATTTGGTCAACATATTGCCAATCAATTAAGAAAACTTCCTATGAAAAGCTGGACAATATTACAAGAGAAGATGCAGAGCCTCATCACCAAAGAAATACTAGAAAACGTATCAGTACTTGAACCTATCACTAATAGTTCTACATCCCCATTTGTAAATACATCTTGGCACCAGTCAAGTGAGACATAAGAAACTACCATATACCATAATACCATTTGTCATAATACCATATAGGTGCCATAATGTCATTCCCATTTCTAATGTACTAAAGGTTTGAGATCTCAGAATTAATCAATAGTTTCTTATCATGTGATGACCAGAGCTGAGGTTTATACCATTTAATCTTATTTGCATTGAAAGTTTTCAAGTATAATGTGAGAAAATGTTGATAAATATTTTTTTCACCTTGTCTTCATTTTGGATCTTATTCATCTGAGTGGGTCTTGAATAAAGCTTTAGGTCAAGATAATACAATTTTAACATTGGTCTACAAACATAAATATGCAATCACTTTGTTTTATTTGTAAAATTAAATATTTTATTATATTTTTTGAATCGTAATTTTTTTGTAATCCACTTTTACAATTATGATTCTGGAGCTGTAATGGAAATGTCCTATTCTTCTCCCTTGAACCTCTATCAATGTAATTGGCAATAAAATGTATTTGAAAATCCATTGTAAAATGGCTACCTCTGAGCAGTCTTGCAGTCCATTCTTAATTATAAAACTGCATGAATAAATCTTGAAATTATAGTAACTGTACCAATTATTAATAATACTGGACTAATAGTAATTAATAGTGTAATTCACCTGTCACTAAATCCCTCAGAATGGCCTTGAGATTTTTTTACATTTATTGTATTTATTGTAAAAGCATCTCTTATTGAGCCTATGGCTCCATTATGTCAAAAAGCTCATTAAATGTTTGTATAGTACCATTCTCAAGTATCTCTTATATGCTAAAGGATCTCCCATCAATGTTTCTCAAAGCAAAGTTGTTGATGCTCATCCATTATCTTGTCATACCCAGTGTCATCCTTCCCATGCATTTCCCCAAGCTTCCCCTCCAAGTTTTGCTGCCTCATAACATGGAAGCTATAATATTTTTATGGACTGCTCTATCAAAAGCATTCTTAAGCATTATTGCTGTCACAGGCCATATTCTTTCAATTACTGCACACTTTGCTCTATAGCTTCTAACCACACTCTTGCTGCCATTGCCAAGAAAATGCTAGACTCTATTAACTGCCTTGTGCATCCGTGACTCTTAGTCATTGCTACAAGCTGCCACAGTATGCTCTGTCTATATGTATATTTACTGTTGTGAGGAACCTCTTTGCAAGGAAGCAGGATTCTCCTGCTAGGGGTCCTTGCAAACCCCCATTCCTGAGGTGCAAAACTTATGAAATCATAACCGAGTTTAAGTGAGCTTATCCTTGATACATATTTTTGATGCTTTGAGGCATCAAAAATATGATTCATAAACCAAATATAGTCATAAACCCTCTATTTGCATTTTTATGGTAAAATATCATTGAAATCTTTTCCCACCACAGTGCACCAACCTGGATTACTAAGTTTGTCATACCATGAACTCGTGTGCTACAGAATCACCAGCAGCTCTTCTTGTGATACAGCAATTTGGCTAATTAATTAATTTTCCTATAATGAGAAGATAAAATTTAAATAATTTAACCAAATTGAGTTATCCTGATATTTGTTTCATTTACTGGTATTAATAATAAATATTCTAATTAGTTTTATTCACAAACAAACATTGTCTGTTTCTTAACTATCAAACACGTTGGTAATCTGGGTGGTGTACCTTTTAATACAAAGAATCAGGTCATAACGCTAGTTAATAAAACATTGCGTTCCATGCTTAGGGTTAAGTATGATGTCAATAATATTCCTTTGACTTGCACTAGTGAATTATATAAGCAGTCTAAAATCTTGAAACTTGACGATATGTATAAATTTGAGTTTTTAAATTCATGCATAGGTAACTTTTCCATGATGATCGTCTTTTTCAGTCTGCCTTCACCTCTCTTGTCCCTCAACATTCCCATAATACCAGGGGCGTAAGATTTAACTTGCCAACAGTTTGTCTAGAAATAGAAAAAAGCGGTACTGTTTTTAACTGTGTCAAATATTTTAATGAATTGCATGAAAATTTTAAAAAAGATTGTTCTAAATTACTTTTAAAAACAAAATTTCATAAATTTATTTTTAACCAGTATTAATTTGACTTTGTTTGCCATGAAGATTCTGAATATTTTTTAATCAATATTCCAAGTTTTTACCTGTCTTTAATCATTGTTATAATCATTGTCTTTAATCATTGTTGCTTAATTTTAGTGACATCCCATTATCAGTTTTCTTGAGGCTTTTTTCCTTGTATGTGTTTAATTTAGAAACTTTCTGTTGCTCTTAACTTCTTTGACTTATCATTGGAATAGGGTTTTAAATCACCTCTGTTGCCTGCGAAGCTTATCTGCTTATGGGCATTCACTTGGATGTCTCTATTATTTTATAAATGTTTTTCTTTTTTTCTTTTGAATTTTAACTAGAGCTTCTTTGTGAATAAAAATCAATCAATCAATCAAAACACAGCATCTCTTTATTGAGTAGATACATGTTGTTGCTGCTTAGTTCAACATGGCTGCAGAAAGTTCAGGCATCATATCTGCATTGGCAGTAAATGGGTCAACTAAGGACAATTATGTCATGCGTGTGGTTGAAAAAGAAAATGATGGACAAGTTAAGAAACTCATTGCAGAGGAAAAGGCATCTGTTGCAATCCCTAAGAATAAAAGAAGAACTGTTGTGCCAACCAGAATCTTTGAACGCTCAAAGACAGATTCAGAAGCCAGTAAATGCAGTGTGTGTTGTGCCAGAGCAGGTTCAGACTTGTATAGGAGTTCTACTGTAGGCTTGTCAAACTCCAACAGATTTAGGAAAAATATTGAAAAGAAGAGAATAAATAAAAGATCTGTAACAACAAGACAAAAACGCCATAAAGATGAGTTCAAGCGCCTTGTTGATGCAAGGCTTTGCATGGAAAGGCAGAGAGTTCTGACATTTGAGAGCTATGATGATAAACTAATGAATTTCAATGTATACCTCCAATCTTTTGAAGAATACTGCAAAAAAAATTTCAGACATGCTCCACGATTCTGGATTTGTGAATTACAAAATAAATTACAAGGAGATACTCTGACTGCTTTCAAAACCCTGAGATCAGTGAATGATTCTTATGAAAGCTTGAAGCTCAAGCTGGTTAAATGGTATGACAAACATCGACTGGCTAGGAAAAGTAATGATCGCAGCCAGTTTGTCTACGCTAATTTCATCAAAGCAGAAAGCATGCACTCACTAGCCACCAGACTTGAGAAGTTGTTTCAAGTGGCCTTTCCTTGCAAAGACGTCAACACCAGCAAAACACTGCGAGAGAAGTTTCTATCAACTCTGCCAAGGAACTTGAAAGAACTTCTGAAAACTCAAATTCTAGATCATGGGATGTCATGGAAAAAAATACAGTGGAGTGATGTGAAGCAGCTCTCCAGTTACTGTGATATTGTTAAGTCTTGTGACTACCACAATTCAAACATGGAAGAAAATAACTGTATGGTTAATGAGAAGTATAATGACAGTAGAATTTATTGGCAATGTTCAGAAAGAACTTCCAAACACCCCTCGGGTAAAAATTCAAAATGTTTTCACTGTGGTCGCATGGGACATGTGGAGGCTGAGTGTCGATCAAAGTCTGGGGCCTGTTTCACATGTGGCTCATTTGATCATTTTTTCTATAATTGTCCCCTATATAAATTCCACCATAGTACTCAGTCAAGCAAAGGTTGTACTGAAGAATCTTCTCTTGCCCAGAAAACTTCCACATCAGCATTAAGGGTTGTGAAACAAGGAGGCATCAATTTAAAACAAGGTAACCTTCAAAGGTTTTTGTCTGGCTACAAATTTGAAAGAGACGCATGGTTCAATAGATACTCATTATTAGAAGATGAAGCAGAAATTGAGGATGAAGATGAAAATTTTGAAAATGATCTGGTATCTCAGAAACAGCTGTGTACCATCAAAATCACTGCCAAGAAAATAACAGCCAAAAAACGTTCTTCAGTCACTAAATCAAAGTCAACGATCACAAGCAGGCCAAGATACTTTGGACCCAGAGGTCTACATCAGGAGTGTTCCAGTGAAGTCTTAGAGGTGAGGAAAAATTATTTAGAAGTCAATAATGCATTTGCTTCATCTTCTTATGTCTAATCTTGCATTGCAGGAACTACTCCTCAAATAAGATATCTCAATTTAAGTTAATTTTGACAATAACATCTCAGGGTTTATAATTAGAGGACAGACCAATTAAGCTATTTGTGGAATATACATTATGAATAGAAAGGAGCTTAAGGACTGTCCCATTGTTCAAAAATATGTTAAGGCTTATCAAATGCAAGTTATAAATCATAAATTCTGGTAATTGTGAATTTGATGGCTTGTTGAATGTATACTAATTGTGAGGAAGAAACCAATAAAGTACCTTTTCCATCCCAATATTCCTGGATCATAGGCAATTTTTAATCTTTAATAATGCCTGGAGAACAAATTTTTTTACAACTGCTTAATGACAAACTTCCCCCCTACCAAATTTAAGTTGATATAATACCCTATGTGACACAACCCTCTGTCTGAGTCACCAACACAACACAGTTGCTCTCTATATCAGAATTGGTTGCATAGAGTTGCTATTTTTTGACTACTTCTGGGCTGAAAAGTTTAAATTATTTTTTAAGAAAACTCTTCAGCTCCTAGCTTCAGCTTTGATGATATGTTGAATTCTTTCTCTTTGAAGTTACAACACTTCTCTTTAACTTCACTTCTTGTTGTTTGTCTGTCAGCTACAAATCTTATAATTGATATTTACCACACTTCTACCTGTCCAATCGATCTGAAATTTTGCACACTTGCATAAAGTTGGAGACAATGTATGAATCAATTAACAGAATAAATAATTTTATAAATTAAAAATTTTTTTTTCATTATTAAACAAATTTAAAAATAATTTTGTCTGCTCCAAATCTTATAATCCACATATGACACAATTTGACCTGTCCAATCGATCTGAAATTTTGCACAATTGCATAAAGTCAGAGACAATGCATGAATCAGTTGACAGAATAGAATTTACAAAATTTTGATATCTTAAAAAAATTTGCAAAATAATTTTTTTTAACATTTGAAAATAGAATTAGAAATTCATTGTACATGTGTAACATCCATGACACTGGATTCTTCAGAAATGTCTTTAAAAAAAATTTTTAAATGCATATTATTTAATTACTGCACATGTTTATGAGTTCATAGTTTTAGTTTTATGAATACTTTCAACAAAAATTTGTTGTACAATTTGGAACTATTTATTGACCAGGTTATGGAAAATTTGGCTACAGATGCCAAGTTGCATTGCAAGAGTAATTTGTATGATGAAATAGGGATGGATATGCTGATGAACTGACGTCCAAGCTTCAATTAACAATGCCATCAAATCATTTCAAATGGGGTAATAAAGGACAGGCAGGGTAAATTGGGACAGTCATTCAACATTTTGTAGAAATGTTGTAGCAGCTAAACTAATAAAAATATTGCAAAACTAAAGATAGTGGCATAAAGTTCAACATTCTTACTATCTATGTAGCATAATGCAAGTTAAAAAATCATACATTTACCATCTCTAAAAAATCCCTGAAAAAAAGTGTGAAATTTTGAAAAAGTACCTCTGCTAAGGTCTGTAGCAGAAAAAATATTTACCATATTAAAAAATTTTACTTACATAAAAGTTGCACACAGTTGTTGTTGGCTTAAAAACGTGATTGACAGAATTAGCACATCTCGTTCCAAAAAAAAATGGCGGCCAGTTCAGCAAGATGGGGTAATAAGGGCCACTCCCTTGGGGTAATAAGGGACACCCCTAAAAATGCATTTACAGTAGAACCTCAAATAGCAAAGGCTCCAGTTATCAAAAAATCAATTAACAACAAAAAATATTGATTACATTTACCTAGCTCAGCAAAAAAATTCACTTAACTAAAAATTACTGCATCAGTCATCACAAAGCAGTACATAGAATGTCAAAGATAGAATTGTGCACTGGGCAACATAGAATGAAAAGTAATTAACCTAAACTATGATTTATTTCTCCAAAAAATATGATGGTTGTCACTAAAATATTTCTTTCTGTTGTAGGTATGTTTTTATGATCTTTTTTTGTTTTAGTGAATTCACTTGACCCGATTAAAATGGTGTGAAATTACAAGCAGTCCTGTAAGCTTGTTGATACAGAAGAAATGCTATATGGCTGCTGATATGAAGCTTGCAGTGGACAAGGTTTTTATAAATGCTCTATGGCATGTTCATGGATACAGTAATATCACATCAATTATAAGGTAATGTATGGATATGGTACTATCTTACCAATAAAGGAAAAACAAGTAAAAATTTCAGAAAATGTCATTTATTCTACATCTACATCATCTAGAAAGGAAAAGGAGGACTTCAGAGTACTGTTAGTAATGGATGAGTACACTCTCAAGAATTTATTTTAAATAACTTTAAATAACTTATTTTAAATAATTTTCAGGAATTTATATTTAATAATTTGTTGTGAAATGGATGATAATTCAAGATTTAATCAAAATTGAGATACATGTTGAATAATCTTCCAGGAATAATTACCAAGTGGAGCTGGTTGCCAAAAAAATATGCTAGAGAAACTTCTGAGCTTAGCCACCCTCTGGTTGAATATGAATTCATTTCCATTTGAAATTGACAGCTAGACCACCTAGAATTGAGAATTGTATAATTCTTTGCCTGAGCAAAATTCATGCTCAGATCTACTTAGCTGGCTGCGGTAATAAATGGGGTAATAAGGGACAGTTTTGAGCATTTTTTGTCAACTTCTTACCATGAAACATTTCACAAACAAGTTTGAGCTCATTTTAAAGCTCTTTGCGATGGCTATCAAATGGCATCTTCAAAAAAAATTCCATATGCTATTCATAAGGTGCCAGACGCAAGATAAAAGCATCCCAAATTACCCCTGGGAATGGGGCAATCCAGGACACTTAAAAATAAAACTCAATTTTAAAATGTTTGAAGCATGCAAAGTGTACTAATCCATTACTAACAGTACTTTGAAGTCCTCCTCTTCCTTTGTAGATGATTTTGATTTGGAATAAATGACATTTTCTGTTTTTTTTACTTGTTTTTTCTTTATTTATATGATATTACCATATCCATACATTACCATATTGTTGATGTGATATTATTACCGCATCCACGAACATGCCATTGAGCATTTACAACAACCTAGTCCACTGCAAGCTTCATATCAGTAGCTGTAAAGCATTTCTTCTGCTTCTTTCTTGCATTTCTTAGAGCAGAGAGGTGTGGGTCTGATCCCAGCTCTGTGCATCAGTTTCTGGTCAGAATTGGCAAGGAGGCTGGGTGTTCAAGCAAAGCAAAATTGAAGCAGTGAGTTGCGAGTTCAAGCCCGCACCAAGCTGTGGATATTTTGCATTGGCAACAGGCCTCCAGCCTAATAAACGCTGAAACTGCTATATTATCTGTAAGCTTACAAGACAGCTTTTAATTTCACACCATTTGAATTTGGTTCATGTGAATTCACTACAAGAAGAAAAGATCATAAAAACATAACTGAAATGGAAAGGAATATTTTAGTGACAACCATCACATTTTTTGGAGAAAAAAATCATAGTTTAGGCTTATTACTTTTCATTCAATGTTGCCTGGTGCACAAATATGACATTCTATGCACAATTTTGTGATGTCTGAACTGAAATGGAAAGGAATATTTTAGTGACAACCATCACATTTTTTGGAGAAATAAATCATAGTTTAGGTTTATTACTTTTCATTCAATGTTGACTGGTGCACAAATATGACATTCTATGCACAATTTTGTGATGTCTCATGATGCATTAATTTTTTCTTGAGTGAAATTTTTTTGCTGAGTGAGTTAAATTTACTGACAAATTTTTATTGTTAATTGATTTTTGGGTTAACTGGAACCTTTGCTAACTGAGGGGTGCCCCTTATTACCCTGGGGGGATGTCCCTTATTACCCTGTCGTGCGGAAATGGCCGCCATTTTTTTATGAGATGCAAATTCTGTCAATCATGTTTGTAAGCCAACACCTGTGTGCAACTTTTATGTAAGTAAAATTTTTTAATATAGTGTATATTTTTTTTTCTATAGACCTTAGCAGAGGTACTTTTTCCAAAATCTCACTTATCACACTTTTTGAGGGATTTTTAGAGGTAAAAAATGTATGATTTCTTAATTTGCTTTATGCTACATATATAGTAAAAATGTGGAACTTTACATTACTATTTTTTGTTTTTCATTATTTTGATTAGTTCAGCTGCTACAACATTTCTACAAAATATGGGATGACTGTACCAATTTACCACACCCATCATTTATTACCACGTTTGATGGTATAGTATCATGCAGAGAATTTATTTTAATTTTTATGCTTGCAGAGGAGTGTTGTGGATAAGAAAAGAAGGCCTTACTTATCCAAAATTCAACACTCATCATCTAGCAGAAAATTGAAAAGTCAACTGCCAGAGGGAGCAGCACACTGTAGCAAACTTTCTGTTCCCTATCCAAGTGACATGAAAAATGTTCAATCTTCAGCAATGACTAAGATCAACTTGCATGAAAACCTGTCAAAGAAACCTGAAATGGATTACTTTAAAGGTAGAGGCTATGCTACTGCTAAGAATGAAGATGCAACCAAATTAGAGCACTCCAGCGGCAATCCAAAAATGCAGCATGGTGATGAAAATTCCACTTCCTCTAATGGTATGTACTATTTGCAATCATGTATTATGCTTCACCAGTATTTTAGAATTGGATAAAATATTTTATTTAATACTGTCATTCATGTTCTTTACTGCTGAGGGTGCAAAATTGTGTCATCATAGACAATTGTTTTCCCTGCATCTTAATTTGTACTAGGCCTTGTAGTTAAAATGATCTTTCTTCTTGCAGCTCCACCTTCAGAGAAGAAAACAAACTCTCAAAACTTCACCCTCACAAACAATAAAAGTAATGTAGGGCATAATAATATTTCAAACAACTTGGTGAAAACAACTGAAAATTGTCATACTCCCACTTCCATCAAGAGTAATACAAAAAATTATGCACTGAAAAATCAAAGACATTGGCTTTCATGTTTTGCACACTGTACACCGGAAGCTCAAATTTGCACATGTCTTCAATCAGATGATAGTAGTGATGAGGATAGGAAGGAAGCTGAAGATGCTGCACAAAAGCTAAAAAATAGTCAATTATTCCTAGCCATACGAAAGGAAAATTCTGTAGACAGAATTTTTGAGTTAAAAAAATGTTTAGATGAAGGAGCAGAGATTAATGCTCAAAATGCAAGGGGTAACACAATCTTGCATATTGCAAGTAAAAAAGGTTTTCAGAGTGTAGTAGAGTTTCTTCAGAAACAAGATAACATTAAGATAGATATTCATAACAAAGATGGTAAAACAGCACTAACTTTAGCAAAAGAAAATAATTATACCGAGATTATTGGCATGTTAACAAATGAAAAAGATTACATTGATGATGAGATGATGGAAGTAGTGAAGTCACTAGGATTAAAGTTGCCCATACCAAATGGTAAAATAACTCTTACTGAGGGCCAATTACAGCATTTGAGAAAAGTTGATAAAGAAGGTAATAACAAACTCATACAGGCAACTGCATCCAACCAAACCAAGGTGATTGAATTATTAATACGATGTGGGATTGATGTAAATTATCAGAACTTGAACACCAGACAAAGAGCTATAGATGTTGCTTGGGAAAATTCATACTATGATGCTATGGTAATTTTGTTGGAAGCAGATTCATGCTTTCCTAGAGACTTCACACTAGATGCTTTGTATCAAGATGATGACATTCCAGATACGTTGGAATTACTTGTTAGAGAAAGAGAAGTATTACACGAGTCAATAAAGAATAATGAACTAGAAAAAGTCATGGATTTTGTTTCAAAGCATGGAGTAACAAGAATTTTAAACAGTAAAAACCAATCTGCATTGGAAGTTGCAGCAGAACATGCAAGTGTTGATGCATTTAAAATTTTACTTTGGTTTCCTTTAGAATTGCCGAATGACAAAATAACCCCTACTGAGAAACAATTTGAGTTGCTCAAACAGGTTGATGAAAAAGGCAATTCACTGCTGTTGATAGCAGCTACACATGCAAAAAAAGATACTGTTGATTTTTTAATTCATATTGGATCAGACATTGATTACCAAAATGAACTGGGAGACAGGGCTATAGATTTGGCTTGGAGGAGTGAGCATTATGATGTTGTGTTAGCATTATTAAAAGCAGATTCTAGTTTTCCCAATGATTTTTCAGTAAATAATCTACATGAGAAAGATTCTGTTGAGAAAAAACTTAAACAGTTTATTGAAAGTAAAGAAAATTTACACAAGTACATCAGACAAGGTGATTTAGAATATGTAAAACATTTTATTACTTTTGATCAATCACGGTTTCACTTAAATTTTGAAGGAAATTCGGTACTTTTCACAGCTATTGAGAATGTGCAGTTTGAAATTTATTCATTTCTTAAGCATGAAGGATTAGCTTTTAGAACTGAAAAGGAAAATGAATGTGTGTGCAACCTCTCTGAAGGTGAAAAAGACATATTGAGAAGGGCTATGATTCCTTATTTTGCTATTATTGAGAATTCTCATATAAATTATTTAGTTTCAAAATCAAGACCAAAAAATTACATTGAAAATTTTCCAGAAAAAGTGAGGCTCTATTATGAGGAGTTAGATTCTATTCCCGAAGTTTCAATAATTCTTCAAGTTATTCAGTATGCAGATTACCTTGATATACTTTTTGATTTCAGTAGTAAAAACATTGAGGATATGGATCCTGTTGCAACAGGTGCAACAAAAGGAATAACAAATTATAAAGAAGGCAGAATTTATATTGCAGCTAATGTAGAAGAGAATAACATTTTAGGTACACTGTCACATGAGCTAACCCATCTTGCTATGTATATGGTATTCAAAAATGATTGTAATCCATATGCTAATACAAACACTAGAAAAAAACAAGATTTCTTGAAAATATTAGTGGACCTTAAAGAAGATAATGAAGTTAAAGGAATATCCATTAAGAATAAAAATGATGACATTTCAGAATCCCCAGTCATAATTGTTTTTAGGGCATTGAGATATCTGGAACAGGAGCAGCAATCTGAGCTAATAGTGAGAATTCCACATATTCTTGCACAATTTAATGATGAGGGAAGGACATGGCTCAACGCTGCAAATGGACCAATCAAAGACCTTTTTGATTACTACAATGATGTAGAAGAAGGAGGCATGACATATCTTTGCAATAAGTTTATTGAAAATAGTTTTTTGATCAAGCCTAAGAATGAAATTCAGGCTCTTAATCAAAGTGTTGGAGAAATAAATAATATAGTGAAAGCCAAAATAAATTTTGTAGAACCTGTAGATCTTGATTACTTTTTGGAGTTTCCTTCACAAAGCACTGTAGCAAATCAAGTTTTACTATTGAAAACTGAAAATACATTCCTAAGTATGCTTAGTATTTATCAGAGCTTAGTAAATAGAGGATATTCTATGCAAGATTGCTTACTTTTAGAATTCAGTTCATATATTAGCAAACAAGATGAACTTAATAAGGCTTTATATTCAGCAGGAAAAGTGTTATGTATACAATATGTACCTTGTTCAGCTAAGCAAGAATTGTTTAATGCATTAAAATCTTTATATGAAATTTTAAAGCAGAAGAAGAATAAAAAATTGATATTAATTATACATGAAAGGAATGCAGAGGAATTGGAAAATGCAAAAATATTGTTCAAAAACATGTACATAGAAAAATTGGATCAGAAATTTACAATGTGTGATATTGATGTAACATCACAAAAGAAGCTTTTAGAAATGGAGGTCAACTTTCAGGGAAGAAAGATAAGCTTAAATAAAATCATAAATGATGAAGATGAACATGCTAAAGAAAGTATAGGTTCAGAGATATTAGTTAAACTAATAAAAAACGATGAGGAAATTAAGATAGGGCATCAATTGGCTTCAAAAAATAAATGCTACATAGATCGTAAGTTCATTTGTGATGTAGAAATTAGCAGAAACATTGAAAATGATAAAGACTTAGAATTAGCTTATTCTAAGGAAGAATTTGAGTATTTGTGCAAGAATCATCCTGAAAGAAGTGTCCATTGGTTGAAGAAAGAATCCAAAAAATTAATTTGGCAACTATCTATAGGCAGCATATCTGATCTGCGTAAATACATTGAAGTTAGAAACAGCACTTGTAGATATCATCAGGAATTAGATTTGTTAGAACACACCTCACAACATCAAGCAGTTATCATTGCAGATATAGCAGGGATGGGAAAGTCTACAGTGCTAACTAGTTTAGCACAGAAAATAAAAGAAAAACACCCTGATCGATGGGTTATTAGAATGAATCTGAATGACTACACAAGAGAGCTAAAAATTGAGATGGATAACCATAGAAATAACAAGCCTAGTTTTGATTCCAGTGATGGCAGTAATGCAGTAAAGTTTTTATTAGACAATCTATTGAATTTTCAGGACCAACTGAAGCTGAGCACAGCTTTTGAAAAAGAAATATTCATGAATAGTTTCAAACAAGAGGGTAAAATGGAGATACTGTTTGACGGGTTTGATGAAATTAGTCCAACTTATAAAGATATAGTGATTGACTTACTGCAGGCATTTAAGAAACATAGTATGGCCAAAATATGGATTACTACTAGATCAATTTCTAATGTTGTGCTGGAGCTAGAAAATACTTTGGGGGTATTTTCATGTGCATTATTACCATTCTCTAATCCTGAGGATCAGTGTAATTTTTTCATTGGATTTTGGAAAGAAATTATTGATGCACAAAGAATAAACCAAAGCATTTTACTTGAAATTGATGAAGGAATAATCATGACGTATGCTAAATCATTGATTGAATTATTAACAAGAATTACCAGTGGTAACCAGCAGGAGTTTACTAGTACTCCATTGCATGCTATGATGGTAGCCAATGTTTTTTTTGAAAATAAATTAGAAGAAAATAATAAAACTTGGCAAGGGCTTAAAGAATTTCTAATTTCTGGTGATTTAGAACCTAGATTAACAGAGAAGCTTTGTATAGTTGATTTGTATGAAAATTTTGTGCAGTCAAAGTTTTATGATTTATATTTAGAAGAAAAAAAGGAAACAGATTTTACTAAGATAGGAATGAAAAGACTTTTTGACAAACAGTATCAAGATTTCAAAAATGATTATCAAATGCTATCAGTGCATTCCATTTTGACCAATGAAGATTTTCAAAAATTGTTCCCCAATAAAATGAAGCAAATAAATGATTCAATAATTAAATTCGAAGAAAATAATGAAGACATTGGTATTATAGAAAAAATTATACATGAAAGAGCAAATTTTGTACATTCAACTTTTGCGGAATATTTGGCTTCCATTCCAATGGCTGAAAAAATATTTTCAGCCTTTGCTACTGAAAGTCTATATTGCATTAACAGCCTGTTGCCTAACACATCATCAATATTTATTTCTAGTATAATTGGTCAAATGGAAAACAAATCCACAGAAACGGCCAATCTTTTAGGAGGAAGAACTCTGTTGAACTTTGTTGCTGAAAAGGGTTTTCTGAATTTTGTTAAATCTTTAATAGAAACAGGTTACAGTGATTGGCCCAAGCCTGATGAATTAGGCAAAACCCCATTGCATTTTGCAGCTGAGTTTGGTCATTTAAATATCATTGAGTATTTGTTAGATTATAATAATGATATACCAGAACAAAATATTTTAGAACATGGTAGTTTTAAAGATGAAAAATATAAAGATTCCAAATTAGTCAGATTCATAAACACTAAAGATATATATCAGAAAACTGCTCTTTATTATGCTGCCAAGAACCATAAAGAGATTGCATGTGATTTGATGTTGAGAGGTGCTGATTGCAATGAATTAGGTGAATATGGAAACCCATTTGCACTATATGTTGCTGATAAACTTCACCAAAGCTATGCAGATCAGGATAATAAACTAAGACCAATAGCTGAGAAAGTATTTATGGAATATCCTAGTGCAGTTATTAACTTCAGTGAAAGCTATGAATATCCTAGACTTTTAAGTTATTTTTTCAAATATGGACGACTTGAAGTAATTAAAACTTTGTTAAATGCTTTAAATGATGTAGAAAAAAAGACACGAATACTCAATAATGGTGATAATTCTTGCACTCCCCTAGGTCGAGTTAATGGGAGTGATATTCTTAGTGATTGCGACAGGTTAAAAATTACTAAATACTTATTACATAATGGTGGTATAAGAACCACTCACAGTGTAAGTATGGATTCCGATATCTCTAGAATTTTACTGGCTGCTACAAGTAATGGTCATATAAAAACCATGAAATACTTTATAGAAAAAGAAGACTCTTGCAATTATCACAATCACTTGTATCATGCACTTGAGAAAAACCAGGAAGAAATAGTTCATTTTTTAATTGCTGAGTATAGAAATGAAATAAGATATGAAGGTAACACTATTTTCCATTTTTCTGTCATGTCTACGGCTAATTTAACAATCATCAAATTTCTATTAGATGGGGTAAAAGATATCAATTCCCAAAATGATTTAGGTGAGACTCCATTAATGGTAGCTGTAAAGGCTCGTAGAGAACTGGAAGTGATAAAATACCTGATTGATAATGGATCTAATTTAAACTTGGAAGACAAAGCCAAGCATACACCATTGTATCATGCTTTAAAAGATGATCAGGTAGAAGTCATAAAATATTTGATACAGTGTGGTGCAAGACTTTCGAAGGACCTCAATTGTATTTTAACAAAAAACAGGTTACAATTTTTCAAAAACTCTGCTCAATTTGATTTGAATGGGACTAGCTACAATGGGCTTCCTAGGTTACAAAATGCCATCCGATATCATTATTTTGACTGGGCAAAATTTATAATACATCACGGTGGGAATGTCAATGTTGAAGACATCAATGGAAGAACCCCCTTACATGTTGCAGCTCAATTTGGCTGCTATGAAATTATGAGGTTATTGTTCCAGTTTGGTGCCATTTATGATAAAGCTGATAAAAGCCTCATTAAACCTGTTGATTTGTGCAAGTATCAAGAATTTTCCATGATGTTTGATGAACTGGACAAACTGTTTAACAGTCAAGATTTAGACAAAAGTTTCAATGCACTTGATCCAGCAAATTGGCTTGGCTGGACATTTAAAGATGCATGGGATCCAGGTAACCCCATGTTGTTCATGCTGAATGTAAGAAACCATGATGGAAAATCATTATTGCATATTGCTGCTATAATTAATGATTGCAATGCTCTTAAGACTCTGCTTAGTTACAATGATGCATATCTTCAACGAAAAGCAGATGAAGAAAACCTTGAATTTGATCCATATTTTTTACAAAAAAAAAATATAGAATATGGTAAAACATTCAAATACTATTTGCCTATTTCTGTTAATGTACTTGATTTGCAAAATAATTCGCCACTCCATTATGCTGCCCAAGAAGGTAATGAGAAATTGGTATCATTTCTTTTAGAACAAGGAGCTTCATATAATACCAGAAACAAACAAGGAAAAACTCCAAATGATCTTTCAAAAAAAGATAAAATAATACAACTTTTTTCTGATGTTGACAAACTATTTGATGCAGCTGAAGAAGTTAGTAATGACTTCACTGCACTCATTTCTCAAGAATTTAAGTATATAAATGTTAAAAATGAAAGTGCTAAAACACTGTTACATGTTGTTATTCTTTCTGGTAGGAGTAATGTTAATGTTATAAAATTTTTGCTCAAAAAAGGAGTGGATAAAAATTTTCCAGATATTAATGGCAACACACCACTCCACTATGCTGTTGAAAATGATAATTTTGAAGTTGTTAAACTCTTATTACGAGTGGGGGCTATTTATGATGTTAAGAATAATGCAGGGAAAGCTCCATTTGAGCTTGTAGACAATAGGAGTGCAACATTACTAACTTCAATTGATCACTTATTTAGTCTTATAAAAAGTGATAGCCCTGAGAGTATCATGAAAGAATCTATTATTACTAACCAGGATGATCGGTTCAACTTTATTCTCAATACCCATGATAATCAAGGAAAAACTATTCTATACTATGCTTCTAAATTTGGTTATTTAAATATTGTAAAATATTTGCTTCAGTATGGTGCCACCTTTGTTTTGATTACAAAAAGGTTTTCTAGTCCAGTAAAAGTTTTTCTGGCATCAATTTTAGAAATGTTTGATGACATAGATAGTGTTTATGAAATGGTAAGAAAGACTGATATACAAATCATCATCAATGTTCGCAATGTTGATGGTAAAACATTATTACATATTGCAGTAGAAAAAGGCAGTATCAAGCTTTTCAGACATTTAATAGAGAAAGGAGCCAATATCAATAGTGAAGACATTTATGGGAACAAGCCTCTTGATTGTGATCCATTGGGAGTAAAGGAAATCCTCCAAGAAATTGTTGAGATGAATCAAGTTGATCAGGTAAATTTCTAAAAAATTAAGGAAACTAATAATTTCTAAAAAATATAGCTATGATTTTAAACAGTAAAGAGAAGTTAAATTAGTTTCATTTATTGTAAGAATCATCAATGCAACTTCAACCTACTTTAAGTCAATCCTGCAATGTCAAATTGTTTTAATCATCTTACAGAATACGTGCATGTTAGTCACTTTTAGATATAAAATGTACTTGAAATTTCTGTTAGTGTTAACCTCAAAGAACATGGTACAATATTATCGGCACTTAAGAATAGGCCAAGTTTATCCTGCCACTGGTTTTGTTATATTTGTGATATGATGTATATTAAAATATTCCTTCATAATAAGCAATGATTTTTGGAACTGGGAGTTTCATTCTTACAGAAACGTGCGTAATGGCAAATTTTCAACCATGTAGCACTTTGTCCTGTGAGGACCCACTTAGAAAAATGAATGGGTTATTTTTTCAAATAGTGATCCACTATCTTACCCACTGCACAACCAATAACTGACGTAGCACTGGTGCATTTGATTGCTATGCCAAACTGGGTCAGTATGACCCACAAAAGAGCAAATATTGTATTGCTATTTGTAGGAAGTATCATTTACCAGAGTGCTAGCTGCGACTTCCAAGCTTGAGCTCATCATGGCTGTCGAGTATGACTCGCAGGCGGCTGCTACTTTCAAGTGTTCGTGTTTTTCAATTGTTAAGTTTCTTGAGTTGTTAACACTACGAAAAGTGAGTGCAATTTTATCGAAATAGCAACACTTTTTGTCCTCCATTGGGTCATCCTGACCCAGTTTGGTCAAGCAAACAAGCATATCACTGCTACGTCCGCTTTCTGCTTGTGTTGTAAATAAGGAAGTGCATGTCCATTCGGTGACACACTTCCCCCACTCAAAGGAAGTGTGTCACTATTTGGTGTCACTTCAGTTGCATGTAAAACCACTGGCGCTACCTCTGAGTTGTCGCAACTTTACATTCAACTTCTAGTACGTAACTTTATGTAAAATGGTTTGATAATACCACCGTTTGGAGTTGCGTCTACTTTGCTCGCTACATGTACCTAGGGGTGTTTTGATGATCTGGCCCCAGTGCCTTCTGCCGTACCTACTTCTAGCGTTTGCAACCAAGAATTTGCTACTATTGTATATATACAATTAGTATAGGATTCAAATTGTGAAGAAAACAACTGGTGCCTTCCACTTTGTTGCATCTAATGCCAGTGTTCTAAATATTTAATGCTGCGTTACTATGTTGTATTTTAGTAGAAGTATCTATAATTATTTGGTGCTTGTTTATATTTTCTGTTTGTTGTTAGTAGTGGTTGAGCTAGATGTTTACTTGGCTTGACTTGAAAATGATTGATGCCTCGTTTTGTATTTCTATACTACCTTAGCTTACGGGCAACACTGCACTTAATTTTAAGGTTATTTTGAGCCCTGACTGTTGCTGAGCATAAACTTGTTTTTACAATTAGTGCAATTGTGTAATTTCCTTTGGTTTTGATAAATCATTCTATAATAAACATGTGTTTTGAATTTCATTTCTCTGATTACCACCATTTAGGTACTGTACTATAATAACTATTGGATATTTTTCAAAGATCTACATCCTTAGGAATTTAACTTGATCTGGCAGAAGTAATTAATGTAACTTATCAATCACGATTGAAGTAATTAATGTAACTTATAAATCATGATTGATGTTCTGTTCCTGCCGGCTTTCAAGCTGACTTTTATCCATGCGTTTTATCATTTATTAATTAGTTACTGTACAAGTAGGTTACAATGTAGTCACAACATGACTGCAAACCATCTACAGTACAGTTATTACCAGCTTATTTCGCCAGCGACTCCTCGCCTGATGATGTATCCAACACGGTTTTTGAAATTGATACGTGATACCAATAATTGATACTGACTACTGCTGCATCACCAAGCAATTTCAGTAGAAAAAACTAGTAGCAAAAAATTCTATTATTACTTGTGTAGCAAGGCATGAATGTTTGCATCTGAAATAACTAAATTCTGCGAAACAATCCCTGATTGGGAGAAAATAATTATTTAACAGGAAGGCGAGAGCAATGTTAAGAGCCTTAGAGGTGCAAAAATTTCATGTTTGAATGCTATAAACATATTTAAATAGGAGACATAGTGGGTACCTGCCCTGCATTGAGAGCTCTAGTTTCACTGTAGTGAGGAAGGCTTCCTACATTGATGAAGACTTCAAGACTCCGCTGTCCATGAGGTTGTTGAAAAGGTAAGTGCTATTGTGATCTGCATTCAAATTTATTTAATAAATTTGAATGCCTTGAATTTTCACAAATTAATTAAATGGGCAATATTTAATATATTGCCCATTTAATATATAATAATATTAATAAAATACATTAATGAATATATAAAATATTTAATATTTTATTTGTATTAATTTTTCTCTGAATCCAAGAAAGAAATATGGTATCTAAGAACGTCAATACATCACAGATAATATTTAGCTTCCAGCTGCCTTCAAATCGCACTCAGTAACTGTACTATCCATCATAAAGCACCTTTATTACACATAAAAACTTGTATGCAATTAATATAAATGTTTGAAACAAATGATTTATCATAAAGTTAGTAAATCTATGTTTGTTTACAGACAAGTATGCAGATTATGCATAACAAAATAACCTAAATAAAACGTGCTTTTTCCGATTGCTTCTATACCGTTTCGTGTGCAGTTGATGAACAATAAAATTCAAAGTTTGTTTTAATTTGAAGAACTGAAATGATTGCAGGGAAGCTGCAGGACGTGAGGAGGACGCGAGTTCTGCAGACGGAGGCGCTGAAGCAGCAGCAGTGCAGCCGTCGCCTCCATAGAGGACGATGAGGAGGTCGTCTCTCCGCATGGGCGCGCCGCTGCAAAACATTTTTTAAATTTACAAATATTATTTTTGTGAACATGCGCGAATAATAAAATCCAGTTATCCGTTTCTCCATCAAAATTTAGGCTTTATGTGCGTGGTGTTTTTAGACGAAATTAAACTTAATATACATGCTTTCATCGTAGAGGTTATTGCACCAGGCTCCCTTACTGGGCATGCATAAACAATGAGTTGGTTGATTATACGCATGAGTAAGACGAAGGTAGCACCAACCTGATAAATATTTCTATAGAATGCTAATTTCATTACGTACGAAGCAATAATTATTGTTGCTGCAATAGGTTATATTGCTAGGTTAAACTGATGCACTAGTGAGCCATCTGCGCGTTGGTGTCACATTCATACGTCATTAGTGTGCTCTTGTGTAATTTATGCATGATGCTGAAAGATGGAAGATCCTTAGTATCCTCCCGTTATTTTACAATTTTTCACCGATACCGCAATTATTTATTTAAAAAACAATGTATGCATAAATTGACTGCGCTTTCACATTTGAACACAGCTCCACAACCGCTCATGGCTAATGTAGCTACATCGAAGGTATTGCTGCGAACTTGAAGGTTATTTCGTACCATGACTGTTGCTGCTACATCGGAGGTATTGCTGCGAACTTGAAGGTTATTTTGTACCATGACTGTTGCTGCTACATCGGAGGTATTGCTGCGAACTTGAAGGTTATTTTGTACCATGACTGTTGCTGCTACATCGGAGGTATTGCTGCGAACTTGAAGGTTATTTCGTACCATGACTGTTGCTGCTACATTGGAGGTATTGCTGCGAACTTGAAGGTTATTTCGTACTGTGACTGTTGCTGCTACATCGGAGGTATTGCTTGAAACATAGAGGTTATTTCGCGTTCTGTACAGCAGCAACAGTGACGATGCTGACTGAGCTCCTTCAGTATTCAAACTACATCAAGGTAACTGAGAGAATGGTACAATAATTATCTTAATTACCATGAAAATGTAGTTTAAGATGCGCGTTAGTTTAAAAAATTCACCTGCATTCCGTCAGCAGGGTTGCGTCAAGAAATTTGGGAACAAATAGGCAACCTCTGCACGCACGCAAATGACGTTAAAACGACGTTAATTACGAAAAGATTTTGTTGGAAAAAGTTAATTACGAATATGTTTCGTTGGAATAACGTTAAAACAACGTTATTTCAACGTCAGAGGCCTGTTGGATAGTAAGTTGCTTGGGTTTCTTTAACCTTATTTCCTGCTAGTGGCCGACGTGTCGTGTATGCAATATTTTGCAAGATTATCGTTGTTTCTGTTGCTGTACTTTTTCTTGTATTAACTCAAACTAGTCATTAACATGTTACTCTTTTGAGGTACTTGTGTGTACGGAAGTATCGTCCTATTGAAATAATATTGTTTACCTCGTTTCTCAATACGTATAATGAGCAAGGTATCAAAGAACTTTTGCAACCAATGCTTTTGATAACTTTCTTATGGAGTCGCAAAAAGAAAACGAATATATTTTCTGTGTTTTAAACTGAAAATTATTTGTAAAGAATGGTTTGAGTTACATAACTTTACGATAATATCTCTCAAAGAACTTCAAGTCAAATAGCTCACTCCGACACATCAAGGTCAAAAACTCAACTTTCTGTTGTAGCAATAATGATTGATGATAAATTCCTTGTTATTAGGTAGTTTAAATGAAGGATTTACGATTGTATCTCATGGACGTCTTGGTCCGTGTATGGTTGAACAAAATAAGGTTGACCCACGAGGACATCCGGCTTTCAGTTCAGCTTTCTTGTTACGTCACTGAGATCGAGAAATGTAAACAATCGTAGATCGAGAAACGTAAACAATCCCGTCAGTCCTACGACGGATTGGTCGACTGGTTTGATCGCATTTCGGTGATTGGTTAATGCTCGTGACGTCACTGAGATCAGTGACGTCACGGGCGAACTACAAGAACTACATCCGCAAAAATGAGCTTCTCATGGGTCAACCTTATACTAGTTTAACCATGGGTCCGTGGTCCCCACTCTCTGTCCTAGCTCTTTAAGCGTATAATTATCTTGCGTATAATATAATAATATGGTGATTAGGCCATTAGGCGTATAATATAATAATATTAGTGATTAGGCCATTATGACCTGTCGCTAATTCTTCACCTCCCGTCCACGTTCACCTTGCCGATATACCTATACCATAATTTTCACTACTTGTTGCGGGTTTCACACCTCCTACATCGCTGTTCCAATCTTGGCGATTTTAACGACTCCTTTCCTTCTGTACATATTGTAAAATATTTGAAGAACAATCATGAAGAACGATCATATATACGAGCAATCAATTATTATTTCTCATCCTAAATCCCCGCCTAGATCCGGTTAGCTTGGGGGTATGTTTGAGTGACCAATCGCAAATTAATTACCGTTATACCGTACCGTTAACCGAGATCAAATCTCTCCAAGTATTCGATAGTAGTAATAGTCAGCAATAATTACAGTTGGAAATTAAATGAGTTATTCTATAATATGATAATTATGAAAACTTACTTGTATGTATATAATAAGCATACTCTTAGATATACGTTTTCTAACTCGAATCTAATGTCTGATTTAATTGTTTAGCTAAAAAAATCATACCGATTTGATTTTCTACCTTCATTAATATCAAATCTGATTGTATGCTAAAATGCATCTGATTTAATTTATCTGAATCAATACTTTCAACCATTCCGGCCATAAACTCGTCTTCACAATCTTATCACACTATTAACGGCGCTTGCATAACTCATCATGAGTCATCCCGAATATTAAAATGTCTACATGACGTGCAAATACAAAGCTTTTACGAAGTTTCATGTAATTCTTGTAAGTAGTAAATGAGTAATAACAAGCTGTGCAAGTATTCTATTTCTGTCTTGGATGCCTGTTGCCGTAGTGGCGTGTTTCCAGCAATATTTTGCAATTAACCTAATTTCATGGAAGCGAAATGAACTATAAATACATCGGAGGTATTGCTACAAACTTGAAGGTTATTTTGTTCTCTTTCCAGCGGCAACAGTAACGATGCTGCCTGATCTTCAGTATTTAAACTTCATCGACGTAACTGCGAGAAACACTAGGAATATTGTGCGATTAAGAAAACCATTTTATCGCCTTTTATACTGAGTGAAAAACCGACGTACTGAACTCTACGCTTCGACCAACACGGTTTTGTAGTGCTCCTGTTGCCGTTGTTTCCAGGGTACAGCAACGATCTCAATTGCCATGAAAATTTAATTTGCGATTAGCGTCTATTCGAAAATTCCTCTTACTCCCCTACCGCCCCAACCTTAATTGTTGCCCCATCAGTCGGGCGCATCCAATAATTTGGAAACTGTTACTTCCGCTAGACGAATTAATTCAGAGTCCGGGCTACAGCGGAGCTAGGAAGGGCAGGGACGAAACGAATATTTTGAAATTCTGATACACAACTGAAAGGCAAAAGCCTGCCAGTCTTTCATTGACATGCCAATGACCACACAATAGTTCCATTGCATTAAGGCATTATACGTGAACAATAAACACGTAACTGGAACAACTGGGCAACCATCAGTATAATGACGTTGAAACAACGTCCATTATGAGGAATTTTCGTTGAAACAACTTTAATTATGAGCGGATTAAGTTGGAACAACGTTAAAACAACCCTATTTCAACGTGAGGCCTGGTGGGTAGTAAATTTCTTGAGTTTATTTAACCTTCTCTTTCTTGCTAATATGGTGCCCGACGTGTTGTGCAAGTGATATTTGGTAAGAGTATCTTTGTTTCTGTAGCTGTACTAATTTTGCGTATTAACTCACACTAGCCATTTAAAATGTTTCTAATTTAAGGTACCTATCATCATAAATGTACAATTGAATTTAAAGAATATTTTTATCTCGTATACCATATGCATAATCTGTAACTTCTGTAAGGCATCAAAGAATATATAAGTATCATATTTATTGTATTTTAAACGCACTTAAGTTTTGAAAGAATGGTTTAGGTTGCATAGATTTACGAGAAGATCTCTCATAAAATCATCAAGTCATTTCTTGTCATAGATTATATACGAAGCTCGGCCTGCACTGCACAGTCTGCACTATCAGTTGTGTGCTGCGTTCAATACGAAGAGGCTATAAGGTGTCGCTCACTCCTACAAACCAAGGTAAGAAGTTCAATTTTTTCGTAATAGCAAAAATGATGCTTGATAAATGCACTGTTACTTGTGAGATTTAAATCAAGATTTAGGATTTTCCCCCTTGTGCGTCTTGGTCGTGAATGTAGAATACAGCACCGCTCTCTGCTTCAGCTGATTCAACGTAAAATTATTTTACACGGAATTTAAAATGGTAATGTCAGACACTTTGATTTGTTCATGTTTGCCTGTCGCCGATTCTTTACCACCTGCCTTCTTGACGATTTTAACCTGAATTGTCACAACTCATTGCGGGATTCGAACCTCCAACTCGCTGCTCCAATCATGGGGGTTTTAACGACTCAGTTTCTTCCGTACTCATTGTACAATACTTAATACACAACGAAGAACGATTCCATTTACGCTCTACTAACCGTTATTTCTCATCCAAATTCCATGCTAAATTCCATCATCCGATTAGCTTGGAGATATGTTGCCGTGACCGACCGCGAATTAATCATAGTTACCGTCACATTTTTCGAGCATTAAATTATGACCATGTAATGTATCTTTATATTAACGCATAGTATAAACTCCACCATTTATTCAGGCAATTAGTGCCGGTTAAACTGAGATCAAATCGCTTTATGTATACGATAGGGGCTCTATAAATATTCCTCAAGAAATACGTTTGGAAATTGTAACCAGTCCAGGTTTTAGAATCATAAAAAACTTACGTTTAAATATATTATGTACGTACTCTTAAATACACGTTTATAACGTTAAATCTAATAAGTAATTTAATTATTTTAACTTTGAATCGTGTTTAATTAATTTGTAACCTTCATAAACATCAAATCTGATTATTTTTCACACACTATATACTGATCTTGGTTACATAGTCGGGATTTCCACAGCCATCAAATGAAGATAGAGATCTGAGTTACCTACGTGTTTAATATAAACGTAAGAGAGAGAGAGTTGACGATCCGATCCCGTAGCAGTGTGCGAATTTTATGCGAGTTGCCTTTGGGTTACGTGCAAGGATTTGTTTGTGTAATTTAGACACTGCAGAGGTACGGAGAATGTTGTTGTTCTAGTGTCGTGTTTATATTCTATTGTATCTGTTTATTCTTTACTTGCTATCTCGTGTTTACTAGGGCTATATTATTATTGTGTTTGTTGATATTGAATGGTTCACTTGATTTATGTGTTAAGGAATTTACCGAATTCCCTAACAAAATTTAGAGTCGCCCCAGCTTCTGGTACTCCAAATCAGAAGCTGATGCGTCTGTAAATTTTCACTGGGTTGAACGTAAATTAGACCTTATGCTCTGTTGGGAGTCACGTAGAAAGCAGTTACCTACGCCTTCCCGCTCCTGTTGATAACTCTAATTAACTTTAATCTAATATACTTGTGTTTGTCAGCATTTATCAATATAATTGTTTCTGAACCCAAATGTTAAATGAAACTCGGCACGCAAGATCATTACACATTAAAATGCGCCTTATCACGCTCAGCAAGATTGACAATCTTATCATGCGCTTTCGAGCTATTATATGTTGAGTCATGCATTATAACTATTATAATGTTGTGATAACATATCTCGAGTTGAGTCATGATAATGTCTACGTGAGGTGCAACCATGAAGATTTTATTAGATTTCACTTTAATAATTCTTTTAAGTAATATATGAATAATTACAAGCTTTGCAAATATTGGAATCCTCTTTTTATATTGAATGCCTGTAGCTCAGCAATTTCCTGAAATTAACATAACTTTTCGAAAATTTAAGAATTAAACTTAGATTTATTTCTCTAACAACCCCGATTATAAGAACACGTATATATATAAGAACACATATAGGAATAATACATCAGAAGCGCCATATAGTCCCGTGTGGATAGCATCAGGCACCTGAACCTCCTTTCCATCACAGATCCCAACCAGTTCTAACCCATGATGCTATGTTTGCGACCCAGTTCTGAATGCCTCGGCCTAACACTACCAAACAGTTCTGAATTCTCCCTCTCTAACTTATTCTCCCGAAGCAGTACCGCTCCCTCTGGCCCTCTCCTTGAGCTCTGACAATGATGACTTCTCAAATCAGCCTTTTACACTTCATGAACTGGAAAACTGCTTAAGTAATCTCAAAAACTCTTCCCCTGGACTAGATCACATTCATAATAAGCACCTATTGAATCTTACACTGGAGTATAAAGGGCGGCTTCTTTTATCTATAATGAAAACCTCTCCTACACAATCCCAACTGAGTGGAAAACTACTCTCATAGTCCCAATCTTAAAGCCCAATAAACCCCTTACACATGTATCCTCATATCGCCCCAGCTCTCTGCTCTCATGTACTGGCAAAGCAGTGAATGATCAATAAACGACTTTTTTTTCTTGGAACTCAACAAGAAATTATGACCAAGCCAAGGAGGCTTCCGTGCTTGCTTGTGAGCTGTTGATCAGGTCGCTAGATCAGTGGTTCCCAAACTTTTTCAGGCTGGCTCACCCTTTGGCTCCCTAGTGAATTTCTAGCACCCCCCACAGACACATATAAAAACATACGCCTCTTTCTTGAAATTTAGTACGCTGCAATTTTAAAAGATAAAGGTTAAACACAAATGTGTATTTCACAAATAGAACCCCATTTAGTGAACCAATATGTTTTTAAGCTGTTTCAACTGTTTCAGTACTAGAAACCTAGGACGTCTCGGACAAAGTTACGGCCGGACTCGTGGCCGGTCGCACAACCAATCTCCAAATTCAATTATTAAGTAATTTCTCACAAACTAATGAACGCAGCTCAATGAAACTTGGAACATGTATTCATCAGAACCTAACGGGGATTTTTAGTTCATAAAATTTTTTAAATTTCACCTTCATTCGTTAGTTATATTGAAATAAAGGCCGAAATTCGCAGTGATAAAAGAATTTCTTCCAGACTACAGTGCCGGAAATGGCTATACGACCACCCAGTTTTCTCCAAATATTTTTTCTTGTACGAAAAAATATGAGATTCTAATTACACGAATTTAAAAACGGTTCCAACGCTATGCGAAAAAAATACTCAAAATAAATGAGTAGAAATGATGAAAATTAGAAAAAGCTAGGTGGAAATGGTTATATAAGACCAAGATATGCTTTTCTCTTTGTGGATCACATACACTCGTTTTAATAGGCAATCTCACCTTTCGCCATAATTACCTCAATGCATCTTCTCCCCACACTATTTACCATATAATCCAGTGTGTTTTGAGAAATCTTATCCCATGAACGAAGGATAGCCGTGCTCAGGTCACTCACAGATTGAAACTGGCGCTCATTTTGGTAAACATCCCTCGCCATGATGCCCCAGAAGTTTTCAATGGGGTTGAGGTCAGGACTAAGCGCCGGCCATGGCAACAGAGTAATTTTCTGCTCTGGGAACCACATGTTTGCTGATTTTGAGGTGTGAATCGAAGCATTATCTTGTTGGAAAACATATGTTCCCTCATGTTTCTCATCGGCAAAAGGGAGAAATTGGTAAAACAGCGTGTGCTTGTAAGCCACGGAATCTTGTCTCCCATGTAAAATAGCTAGAGTTGATTTTCCCTTTCGACTAAACGCCCTCCAAACCTTTACCGAACCACCACAAGATTGCCGCTTGAAAAAAAAAAATTCAGGCTCACGGTCTAGTGGTGCCAATAGCATTGCCATCTATCTGAACAATAAAGATTGAACTTTTTACATCACTGAAGATAATTTTGTGCCATCCCTTACCAATAAGCAAATTTTTTCAGCAAATTTTTGTCGGTTGATAATATGCTTTTGCTGGGGCACAGGGGCATTTTTCCTCTTCATGTATTTGAATTTCTTCGAGTCATGCAATATCTTACGGATGCGTCGTGCTGTCACATCAAGTCCAGTGGCCAATTCTATAGAGGTAGTGCCAGTTTTAGAAGCCTCAGAAAACAGTCTCCTAAGATCCCTGTCGGGTAATTTTGGGGTTGGTCCAGTGTGCTTTTTTTCACCCGCAGCCGTCCGGATTAGCAAAAAATGATTGTGCAATGGGTTATAAGCATTTTATTCCCATTGCGATGTCCCGTTGGCTTCAACTGCATTTCACGAAGCCGAAAATCTGCGCCTTCTCGGCCTCAGTGAGTCTTATCCCATTTGGCCTATTTTTACTTAAAAAAAATATAAGTGAGGACACTGAACTACATCAGAAGTACACCAGAAAGGCCCTAAATGACGAAAATCAAGATATTCTTTATTTTGCTGCACTTTTTAAAGTGAAAATATTACAGAAAGATATCAAAATGGAGAAAAACATATATTGGTCTTATAACCATTTCCACCTAGGTTTTACTAATTTTCATAATTTCTTTTCATATATTTAGAGAAAATTTTTTTTTCGCATATTCTCGGAAACGTGTCTAAACGTAGTTTAACCTCGTATAATTAGAATCCCATATTTTNACAGCAGAGATAAAGCTATGGAAAAATATATGTTCAGATTTGAAATGCCTAGCTCCTTATCGAACCCGGTGGAAGTCTAGTAGCTACTTCAAACTATCGCCAGTCATGAAATGATCCGATCAAATGATACGAGTTTAGATCTATGAACAAGGCACGAAATGGAAAAGAATCGGCGACAGGCCACATCAGGCCTACACTTCAGAGCCGACATCACTATGTTATGTTATGTTATGTTATATCCGTTTACGTATAGACATATACGTATGGCCGTATAACTCGCAAACGAAGGCAAAACGAAAAAATTGTAGCGAGCTAAACATCACCGTTGCTGAGGTTAGGTATTTAAATATTAAGTTTCGTCTAAATCTGTTCAGTAGTTTTGGGATAAATTTCTTGATTACTGCGAATTTAAGCACGTATTGCTGTTTAAATCACGAATGAAGGTGAAATAAACAAAAACTCGCGAACAAAGGCACAATCGAATAAAATTTCACGAGCTAAACATTACTGTTCGGTAGTTAGGACTGTAAATTTAAATTTTCTTTCGAATCTGTTCAATAGTTTGGAAGAAATTCCTTGATCACTGTGAATTTCGGCCCGGATTGCCATATAACTATGGTAAAATAAATAAAGGCAAAATTAAAAAAAAATTCACGAGCTAAACATTACCCTTAGGTCCTAACGAATACGTGTACCAAGTTTCATCGAGTTAAGTTCAGTAGTTTGAGAGATATTCCTTGATCGTTGAATTTGTAAATTGGCCGCGAGTCCGGCTGTTAATTTGTCCGAGACGTAAACCCAGGAGAGGTTAAAAAGCAGATCTGGGTGAAAAACCATCGCTGGGAGTCATGATGTGCTGCACGTGTTGTGTAAAAATCGTCAAACAAACGTTGGAACTTCTGACTTCGGACTGCCGCCCCCCCTACCGCCTTCTAACGCCCTCTTCTTCCTTACCGCCGCCCCCCAAAATCTTTCCACGGCCCCTAAGGGGCGACATCGCCCATTTTGGGAACCACTGCGCTAGATTAACCTCTGCGATTCGAGAAACACTGAGCAGCAGACAAATTCTGGTGACCATCTTCTGTGACCTTTCCAGCGCCGTTGACACAGTTTGACACATTGGCATCTTGAACAAGCTAAGAGATGGTGTCGGAGGAGCAGTGTTAATATAGGTGAGAATGTTCCGCTCTGATAGACGCTTCCAAGTCTTCTTTGAGGTAAAACTTGCATCAATGAGAAAAATATGCTCAGGAGTTTCGCAAGCTTTACTTTCCCCTACCCTCTTTAATGTACTGATACATGACATACCTTCTGTCTCGAATAAGGTGTGCAGAATATGCTGATGATGTCACTTTTTTTACCAGCGACTCTGACATTATGAGGCATCTGTCAGGCCTCAAACTCAACTGGATGCTTTTAGCAGCTGTACTGGGGCCATACACTCAGTATCAACAAAAATAAATGCATGTATTTCACTAACAAGAAGATAGAACTGCCCTCTCTTTTATGTAACGGTCACCCAATAGAAGTCGTTTCCCACTTTCGGAATCTTGGTGTCACCGTGGATGCTCCCAGATTGCACTGGTTGGATCAAGTAGAAACTCTGAAAAATGGACAAAACAACCTCGGACATCAACAAAATTTTGTAATTTTTATAGATTCTCAGTTCACTGTTCCTAATCAAAGATAGGAAGCCTCAATCATGCGTACACCTAAGCCAGATCAAACTGATGGCGCTGGTAACTTCACATTATTTCAAGCTCCAGTTTGTTCCAGGTCGCCGAGGCATTGCTGGGAACGAAGCAGCAGACCACGCAGCATCGCAGGCTCACACCCTTCGGCATCGTACCATATTACTCCCAGCTAAAAGGAAGAGACGGTAAGAATTATGAATTTTATTTTTCTTGAGTACTGACAAAGAGAGAGAGGGTTAATAACACTAAAGTTTCAGGGAAGGGCTTTTCCGCCGTAAAATTTAAGATAGAGTAGGCAATTGGCCTTGGGCACTGAACCGAAACAGACTCGTAGAGATACCACTTGCTCGGCTACAGATGGGTCATGCTGGAGTGAAAGCATACATCACTAGGTTTAGGATTATTGCTCTCTAGGCCATTATGCTGTTATATTTGTCTATTAATTCATTGCTAAAAAAAGTACTTCTTCAAAAACTAAACGCTAAGCCTATTTTTTTAGTTTCCTATTTTTTTTATACTAAAAAATATGATTACGTCATTGCTAGAAGCTGAAACTTTGACGACCAATTCCAACATTTTCACACGAACTAGAGAACTTCATCAGAGCAGTTTCCAACGAGAAGATTCGATTGAAGTGAGTCATAAATATATTTATATTTAATCAGGGAAGAATACAATTTCGAATTTTCACGTTTTGAAAATTGTTTGTGAAAGATTATATGTTATCAAATACAAGAAGTTTCATGTTACAAACACTGCTTATCCTTTGTGAAACGAGCGATGCCTACGCCATTCAATCACACAATAACTTGATCCTAAAATTCAGGATATATTCAGACTGTACCACGTGCAACACGTTACAAACTCAAAGTTTCTCTACCGTCTATGTGGCTGAGTGGACTAAGGCAGCTGGTCGCGCGCATTCGTCTACAGTCTTGGCAAGAGTTCAAATTTTGGCAGGTGACTCCAAGTTTCTTCAACCTGAGTTTGGCAGCGGTGACAGTGAGTCTACATTTTACGCATTTATCACTAACTAGCGGGACACTGAGTGAAGTTTCATGCTGCCTATGCATACAGATATTAATTGTTAATAAAATATATGTAAGGAAATAATAAATATGAAACTAATTCTTCTGTGAAGGAGAGAAGCGTTGAAATCAGATCGGGAAGGAGAAATATAGTTTTCTAATTTCTGGTTGGGAGGCAAAAATGGATTTGACTGGAATATGTATGAATATGTGAGAATGATTTCATCCAGGGCTGGAAAATGGACGAATTCTGAAAAGTTGGTTGGATTCTCCGTAGATTAATTTGTGTTCTAACTTCTTTTTAAGCACACAGGTGTCTCAAAATCCCAAATTTTGAAACACTTGGACATCTTTGAAACACCTGAGCGGCCTCAGGTGTCTCGATTTCGGCACGATCGCTCGGAGGGGCCTTGAAACACCTAAGTGTCTCATAACAGCTGTCAAATTTCTATCAGTGACGAGGTCCTTTCCCACCTGAGACGTAGGTGAAGATAATCAAAGCCACCACTGATTACTTTATAGAAGTTAATGCCCTGCAACCAACGTAGTTTAATAAATAGAATCTAGTATGTTTGACCTATCTTCATGTTGCACATTTGTATTATTGAAATTTTATTTGTAATCTCTAACAAATGTGAGCATACTAACTGCAAACAACACTCTGTGGCACCAACGTCATCTTAAATCTTCAACAAACGCACCTCTCGCATATATGAGTTCAAGCAGAGGTACTCTGCGCAGATCAATTAAATACTGTAATGACTGATTATGTGAAGGGTGACTCTATTTGTCTCCACCAGAAATACGGATTTTAAGAGATACCATCAACGATACGGGTGGCCGGCGGGAGGCCAGCTGGACATCAACTTAGTGTGAGTGACCTGGATGATAGTCTGGTAACTTGGTTGGTGATTTGCTTGGGTAACAGCAACTTCATTGGGTGAGTGTAGCCTGGGTGACAAGCACTCCCACATGGGGCTCATCGCGGGTGTGGCCATTCTTATGAGCCCTGCCCATAAGACATCCATATTGTTTGCATATTTGCATCAAATATGGTTTGCACTAGCCATATTTGGCTGAATGAGGCTCCAGGTTGATCCGTCCACACTAGACCCTCTCCTAGATACTGGTTTCTCGTATGTGGCACAAGGTAGAGCATCCCCTATAGATACTAACTCGGGTAAATTAGCTTAGTTCTATTAATATTGGACTTAGTTTGGTATGAGCTAATCACTAGAATTTCTTAACATTATTAAAGTCATTTTATTTTGAAATATATTGTTTCTTGATCTGCCTACAGCAAAATATTTCACTAAACATGATATTATTATTATTATTATTATTATTTTTATTTATTATTAAGTCGCCAATTTTGTGAGCTCTATAGTTGATCAATCGATGCTATGTTTATGATGCTTTATGCTAATGACATTCTTCATATGCACTTAGCTGCTGGACGGCGGTAACGATTGAATCGCCGTGCAGACGTTGAGCTACAAGGAAGCTCCAATAATAATCAAATAAAGAACTGAGAATGGTTGATAAAGAAGGTATCAAGCTACTGAAAGCCACTTCAAATAACAATATTAAGGAGATAGAGTCATTAATTGAACGTGGGGTCGATGTAAATTATCAAGACTCGACTACCAAACTAGGAGCTATGGAGATTGCTTGGGGAAATGGAAACAATGCTGCTATGTTATTGTTGCTGAAAGCAGGTTCACGTTTTCCTATAAACTTTTCATTAGATGCTTTGTATCAAGAAAATGGCATTCATTATGAATTGAAAGAATTTGTAAAAATGAGAGAAAAATTACACAAATGGATTAAAAATAATGAATTGGAAAAGGTAAAAAATTTTATTTCAAAGCATGGAGTATCAATATTTTTAAACAGTAAAAACCAATCTGCTTTAGAAATTGCGGCAAGACATTCAAATGTTGAAATGTTATCAATTTTACTGGGCTTTCAATTGCCATTGCAAAATGAAATGATGATTCCCACAAAAAATAAACATGAATTATTAAAACGGGTTAATGCAGATGGCAATACACTCCTATCAATAGCTGCTCAGCATGGAAGAATAGATAATGTTAATTTTTTAATTGATTGTGGAGCAGAAATTAATAAACAAAATATATCGGGTAAAAGGCCTATAAATTTACCATGGAAAACACAGAATTGTGATGTTGTATTAACACTATTGGAAGCAGACTCATGCTTTCCTATGAATTTTTCAGTGAATCATTTAGATGAAAAAATAAATTCACATCTAAGACTCAAAGATTTTGTTGAAAGTAGAGAAAATTTACATTATTTTATCAAACGCGGTTCTTTACATCATGTTAAAAAATTCACTGCTAAATTTCAATCAAAGTTTTATTTGAATACTGATAACGAATCTGCACTTTATACTGCAATTACTAATGATCAGTATGAAATTTATGCATTTCTTAAGTTACATATAGGACTACAGTTTAGAACTAAAAAAGAAAGTGAATGTTTGTCCATTCTATCTGAAGGGGTAAAGGACACATTGAGAATAGCTATGGTTCCTTATTTCCGAGTTATTGAAAATGTAGCTAATTATTTAATATCAAAATCGAGACTAAAAAAATATTCTGAAAATTTCCATGAGCAATTAAAAAACTTGTATGAAATGCTAGATTCTATTTCTGACTTTCCAATAATTCTTAAAATTATTCAGAATGCAGATTATCTAGACATAATTTTTGATTTTGAGAGTAAAAATATACAGGATATGGATCCAACTGCTACAAGTTCAACCAAAGGAAAAACTTATTTTAAAGAAGGCAGAATTTATATAGCAGGTAATGTAGATGAGAATAACCTATTAGGTACTTTGGCACATGAACTAACCCACCTTGCTATGGATATTGTTTTTAAAAATGATTGTAATCCTTATAGTAAAACAAACCATAGTCAAAAGAAATATTTTGCAGAAATAATTGAACAGGTTAGAGTCAATCTTACAGAAACAATTCAAGAGCTTAAAATCAATGGAAATATTGAAGAAACTCCAGCTGTAATTTTAGCTAGGGTTTTTGTCACCTATCCAAAGGATGAGTGGCCATCTGAATTGATCGTAAGAGTTCCGCACATACTTGCTCAATTTAATAAAGAGGGAAGATTATTTTTGAATGAACATTTTAAGGGGCTTTTTGATTTTTATATTGATCTGATGAATTATTTCAATGTATTTATCAAAAACAGTTTTTTCATTAAGCAAAGAAATGAAATTCAAGCTCTCAATAAGAGTATAATAAACAGTATCATTGAATCTGAGATAAATTTCACAACTTCTATAAATATTCAGTCTTTTCTTTCATTGCCTTCACCAGCTGCTCAAAAACCTCCAGTTTTAATTCCTAAATCAAAAAATCCTTTTCTAAGCATGCAATGTATTTATCAGAGTATAGAAAAGATTTCATATTTCGTTGATGACTGTATATTCATTGATTTTAATTCCTATGTAAAGAAACAAACTGAAGTCAATAAAGTCTTCTATGCAGCAGGTCGAGCACTATGCATAAGATTCACTCCTGGTGTATCCAAAGAGACATTTTTTCAAGTTTTAAAAACTTTAAATGAACTTTTGAACTTAAAAAAAGACAAAAGAATTATTTTGATATTTACTGAGAATATGACAGATTATTTAGAAACTGCAAGAAACTTGTTTAAAAATAACTATATTGAAGAATTTGATCATAATTTTCCATCTTGTGATGGTACTGGATAATTAAAAATAAACTACTGACAATTTTGACAAACCCACTGGGCAGGGTGGCCCAGTGGTTACAGTTCAGAGTACCAAGATTGGAGCAGAGAGGCGCGGGTTCGATCCCAGCTCTGTGCGCCAGTTTCTGGTCAGAATCGGCGAGGAGGCCGGGCGGTTAAGCAAAGCAGAATTGTAGCAGTGAGTTGCGAGTTCGAGACCGCAAAATGCTGTGAATGTTCTACGATGTTAAGAATCGGCGACAGGCCTACGGCCTAATAAACGCTGAAACCGCTATTATATAACCGCTATTTATAATTTTGATGCTCCTTATTTTTAAACTATTAAAATGCATTTGGTAGGAATTTTTGTACCTGCTGCAGTGTAACAATGTTTGTTTTAACCTATTCACATCTCCAATATTAATAATAAAATATAATATTGGTAGATGCATGTAAAAAGTAAATATGATCAATTGAATAATGCATTGTAATCAATTTGATAATATTACTCAATCTTATGTAATAATAAAAATTATATATTTTATTTTATTGTCCATAGTTAGCCTTGTGTACGTATTTTTCTTATAATTTAAAGCGAATTGAAATGGATAATTCCTGCCGCTGCACCAAGTATTGCTGTTACCTTTGGAATAACTGCTCTCAAAATTCGATATTAAACAAAATGTATTTACATGCTGAGTATATGGTTTTCAATGTGAAAGTATTAGTCAAGTTAATTAAATTATGTTGATTCAGTTGATTCGAATGTAGTTCTTACCCGAACTATTACTTTCAATATTGGTCATGTCTAAAACTTTGAATTTGTACTAAAGGTCTATCTAAAAGGTTAAATCAGTTAATTGCTTGAATTTAGTATACTTAGCTTAAGCTTAAGATTAGCTTAAGTTAATCGCATACATCCAATTATTGCAAAGATTTATTCACATATTAATTGACTTTGTGTAATGACATAACAGCTTATTTAAGTAGATTTGCTATTTCATTACTTCTGTGTCACTCTTATATGCATGTATTATTTATTATGATTATGTATACATATCTAACCATGTGTTTCAAGTAATAAGTGATTTCATGAACTACTCTTTTACTTTCGTCTGTCATCGATTAAAGTTTTTTTTGTCTGTCGTCGAGCCAAGCTCTTACGGTTTGTGATGCCTACACTCAGGGAAATGAGCGAGACTTTGTCCAAATAATGATGACGTTTTTGCCCTCGTGTGAATAATCCTGATTCAGTTTGGTTTAGCACGATCACATATTTTGATCGTGCAAATGTTGCACGATCAAGTAGTGGAGCCATCATTCTATGCGTGTATAATCCGCGCTGTTGGATTATTGACAAAATTCTATCACAAGTCAAGGTGTTGCTACTTGCTAGTAAACCAATAGTTTCCTATCGCTTCAGCAGACACTCTAAACTTGTGCGGAACTCCACTTACGACATCTCCGAGCAGGCGTACAGTTATGTTACGTATCTTCCCGCGTAAATGTTTTGATAATGCCACCTCTAGAGTTACGTCATCAAGTCAGCACTAACGCCACTCGTAAGTCGAATTTGCGTACTTACGAAGTTTTGATAATACGGCCCCAGTTCCGCACTGCTTGAAGCCAAAGCCATCGTAAGTCCATAGTCACCGTTTAGCAGAATAGCATTTGGCCAAACCTTCTCACGTTACTTCGAGTCACCTTCCCGCAGCCAATGAGGTCTTAGGTTAGGTCCAGTTAGTTATGTTTTGGGTGGATAATCGGGACAAGCTGAGTAGGAGAGGGGGGGATACAGATCTGCATGCTTATGATCGAGTATGCTTTTAAGCGGTGGCTATTGCATTGAGCACCTACTTCATATGCTTCCATTCCCTCTACGCGCTTGTACATAAAAAAATGATTAAAGGAAGTGGAAGTTTGGCAAGGCATGCACATCATTTTAATCAAATATTTTGGTACTTATATTCAATTTTTTCATACCAAGAATACGGTAAATAAGCGGATCGACTTAATGAATGGATGCATCGTCTCATTAAAGGATTGCTACAATTACACGAATAACAGAACGTATTCAAATTCAACTAAATTAAACAACGCTTCATAATAAATAAATCATTGGCTCCCAGTGGTGAGTGGTGTCTGGGGTAGAGGGAGTCGATGATGGAGCGTTGCTCGCTGTGTGCGTGGGAGGATGTGATGGCAATGATAGCGCGAGGAGGAATATGGCGCCTCAGGATTAGGGATGCGATAATATTGACGTCAATTTTAATTGATAAATGAAAAAACAGAGGCTATACAGACTATGGGCTGAACTCTTTCGTAAATATTTCAGCAGTGAAATAATCTGTCAATCTTAGAGTTGTGCGCTAGTGCGATCCATCTCATAAATAAAATTAACATGAGTAAAAAAAGTCACGAAACTAGCGCTGATATTTTCGTTCTTTTTTGTGTTCATATGAGCTGTTCTGAAATTCTTTACAATCCTTTAAGCCACAGCTAGGGACTCACGCGAGCTTTGGCTGCTTTGCTGTGTACTCACTGTGAGAGAATACTAAAGGAGAGCGTCCATGCCATTTCACATACCTTCTCCCAGTGNAATGCCTGCTGCAAGGTTTGTGATCTTGTAGTCTTTTGTTAGTGATTCGAGCGGTCTTTCATAAATAACATCGTTTATCAACTTTTTAGCAAAAATTTGCTGGTTAGCGGTGAAGGCACGCAGTTTGTGAGCTACATACTTCCCGAATATCTGGAATTCGTCTTCAGAGTTCATAGCTTTAAGTTTTTCTCCAGCCAGAGCGATAATTTCTTTCGTAGGAGATTGTTTTTTCTTCCTTTTACCCGATGGCCGACCAGCAGATGACGTAAAACTCGATGATGATGTACTGTCTTGAGAGGTTACCGAAGTTTCATCTTGAGGCATTTGAGGAGCGGCCAGGGGGGCGATATCGCCCACTTTGGGAACCACTGATATAGATCTTTTCCTCGGTTGCTTTTTCACTGCCCCGAGCTCATTCAACACGACGGTATGGCCACGATGGCAGCAGCTGCAACTTGCCTAGGCTGACTAATCTTCACCACTGATCGTTGAG